ACACACACAGACACAAGACAGACAGACACACAGACACACACACACAGACACACACACACAGACACACACACACAGACACACACACACACGCAGACACACACGCACACACATACACAGACACACACACAGACACAAACACACAAACACGTTTGTGGTGAGTCGGTTTGTCACACACACACACACACACACAGATGCACACAAACACGTTTGTGGTGGGTTGGCTTGTCACAGACACACACAAACACATCTGTGGTGGGTTGGCTTGTCCCTCGGCCTCTTGGCTGTCCCTGGCCTGGCCTGTGGCCGCCTACCTCTGCGCGGGCTTTTATTGCCTTGTCCAGCCTCTCCCAAGCGGCCTCGATGCAGTTCTTGTGGGCTTGAATCTGGGGATAGCACCCGGATGCGCCCTGTTCCAGGGAGTCCCCCAGCTCCCTCAGGGCCTGCACCTTGGCCTGCCCCAGGCTCTGAACTTCCTTGCTAAAAGCAGCAAACTTCTCTTCCAGCACCTGCAACAGTGTCACCCAGAGAGGGTTCACTCTGGAGTAGTTTCAGGCAGCTCTTGAAACGCATGAAGGAATTGGCAGCATCTGACTGCTCCCACGTCCCTCAGCCTTGGTTCTAGAACTACAGGGGGCCTCCCAGGGCCCAGAGATCCCCCCACTTCCCATCTGCCCACTCTCCAGCCTCCCTCCCACCACCCCAAAATGCGGACCTTCCTTGCCCTTGGTAGCTAGCCTTAACCCACTCTCCCTGGGTTTGAGTGGGAATGACTCGCCTTGACCTCCTCCAGGTCCTGCCCGTAGTCCTGGGACTCAGCGGTGGCCACCTTGCTGGCCAGCCAGGCATCAAGAAGCAGGGCCTCTTGTTCCAGCTGATGCAACTGCAGCTGCTCCTGCAAGCACTGCCCCTGGCCCTCCGCTCTCCGCAGCAGCTCCACATGGGCCTCCCTCACCACCCGCAGCTGTGACAGCACCTTGGGGCTGCAGGAGGAGAGACTCAGCCTGGACAGCAGCCCTGTCCTCTCTAGGTGGGACCCAGCCTCCAGTGCCTCTGCAGGGACTGCCCTTCTCCCGGCTCCGCCCCATGGGCGTGGCTCCGTCCACCTGTCTGGGTTCTGTCTGCTCTCCAGGAGCACGGCCGTCTCCTGCAGCCTCTCCAAGTGTGTGCTGAACCCCTCCAGGTCTCTCCTGGTGGCCTCCAGCCGTCGCAGGAGCAACTGTGTGGCCTCGGCATCCTGGCCCATGTCCTTGCTGTCCAGGACACAGCCCCGCTCCGCCAGCCAGGATTCTGCCTCCAGGAGCTGGGGTGACATGGGGGAGATGGGCTGACCCTGGGCCATGTCCTCCAGCCTCGGGCTTGCAGCCTCAAGATTTACAGCACTGGTTCTCAACCTGGCTGCTCTTTAGAATCACCCGGATAGGTTGGTTTTTTGCATTTCTTTGTTATTTTCAACATTTTACTCAGAAATAATTATAAACGCACAGGAAGTTGCAGTTAGTAGAAAGGTCTCCTGGATCCTTCATCCAGTCTCCCCCAATGGTTACATCTTGTATAATTATAGTACTCTGTGTGCGTAAACATCCACGGCATTTTATCACAGGTAGATTTGTGTAACCACCTCTGTAGTCAAGCTACACAACTATTCCATCACCACAGAGATCTCCCTGCTGCTACCCACCCCTTATAACCACGCATCCTCCCACCACCATCCCTAAACTCTGGCAACTCCTAGTCTGTTTTCCATCTCTACAAGGTTGTCATTTCGAGAATGTTATATAGAATCATGGGACCTTTTGAGATCGGCTTTTTTTCACTCAACATAACGCCCTTGAGATCCATCCAAGTTGTTGATTGTGTCAACAGTTCATTCTTTTTTTTACTGTTGACTAGAATTCCATGGTATAAATGTACCATAGTTTGTTTAATTGTTCACCTACTGAAGGACATCTTGTTGTTTCCAGATTTTGCCTATTACAAATAAAGCTGCTATGAGCAATCACATATAGGTATTTGTGTGAACATATTTGTGTGAAGTTTTCATTTCTCTGGGATAAATGCCCAGGAGTGTGAATGCTAGGTTGTATAATGAGTATATGTTTAATTTTTTAAGAAACTGCCCAAACTATTTTCTAGAGTGGCTTATCATTTTATATTCCCACTAGCAATGTATGAGAGATCCAGGTTCTCTGCATCCTTGCCAGTACTTGTCACGGTTTTATAATTTTAGCTGTTCTAATACAGAGCTTTTAAAAGTGCTTCTGCCTAAAGATTCTGATTTGGTCTGGAATGGAGCCTCAGCATCAGTGTCTAAATGTTAAAGGCTCCAGGTGATTCTAATGTAAAACTCTGGCTGAGAACCCCTGGTTTAGAAGAAACAGAGCAGCAAAACAAAATAACAATAACCCAGTGGTCCTGTCTTTGGGAAAGATGCAGAGGGGAGCCCTTGGGGGCTGGAGACCACTTAGTGCAGGTGACAGAAGATGCGTCGAGAGCCAGGAGCCCCAAGTCGGGGTTACTTTTGAATGCTACACGCCCAGCCCGCCACTTTCCACGGCCCCCCTCACCTCTGTCAGGAACTGCTGGGCCTCCTCAGCCTGCCGTAGCAGCAGCCTCCTCCGTTCTGCCTCTGCCTGCAGGCAGCCCATAGCGCTCTCCAGCCGCCGCACCTGGGCAGCCACCTCGCGGGCGGCAAAGTGCCCAGCCTGCACCAGCCTCTGCCCTGTGCCCACCACCACACGGGCCAGGGCCTCATGGCTGTACATCTCACGCTCCAAGTTCTGTGGAGTAGGAGGAAGACAGAGCTGGGCATGCTACTGGATTCCCTGGGGCCCTGGTGGTGTGTCTGAAGCCTCACAGGACCCCACAGACGTGCCCCCAAGGCGTCCCCTGCCCCCATGACCAGCAAGAATCCAGGACGCCCCCAGAAGCCCGCTGAGGCAGGGAGCTGCGTCTTCCTGGCTGAAGCCTCTCGCCCTGCCGGGGCAGACACCCTTGGTGCCCACAGCTTGGGTGGGCTAGCACCTGGTGCTTCTCCTGCAGGCGCCGCACGGCACTCAAGCTCTGGCCACAGTCCTGGGCCGCGGCCAGGGGCAGCTTCTCCTCGACCCAGGCCATCTCCTCATCGGCGTCCCTGAAGAACTGGTAGAGGAGGCTCCTGGCCTCCAGGGTCGCCCTGCGTTCCTGCAGGGGCTCCCTCAGACTCTCGAACCTGCAGCAGCAGCAGAGAGCGGGGGCTCAGAGAGGTGGGGACCATGGTTGTCGTTATTATGGCTAGATGGTGACCCAGAGCCCACCCACTCTGTGCCCCTCACGACGGGCAGAAGAGAAGCCCTCACGGGGGTGAGCTGGGAGTATGGGTGGGCATCCCTTCAGGAAGGCAGGGAGGAGGAGGAGGGCAAGGAGGAAGGGTGCCCTCTGAGACAGGGGAGGGGCAGATCTACCTCTGAAACAGCTGTCGGGCCTGCTCCTCCATGTCGAGGCAGGGGCCTTCCTGGATGAAGGCCTGGGCCTGCTCCAGCAGGGTCTGAGCCTGTCGGGCCTGCCCGTCCACTGCTGCCTCTAGGTCTCTCTGTGCTTCCAGGAGCTCGCCCACCCCAGGAAGGCCCTGCCCTCCAACAGGGACTTGCAGCTCGGCCTCCACGGGCTCCAGCCAGCTCTCCAGCTCCTCCATGCTCTGCTGTAGATGCTGGGCCTGGGGCAGAGCATGAAGTGGGCATGGAAGGGAGAGGCTGGTGCCCTGTCCAGCCTGCTCCACGGCTCACACGGCCTCACCTTGCAGGCTTCCTGGAGCTTGGCTGCCTTCCTCCTGCAGTTGGCCTGCAGCTTGTCCCAGAGGTCGCCCAGCTCCTGCAGCCGTGCCTGGATGGTCTCCGAGGCCAGGTGGCCCCCCTGCAGCAGCCTCTGCCCTTCCTACAGCCACAACATGGACACACAACTGCTGGACTCAGGCGGGCTCAGACCCCCAGCCCCAGGCTGCGGAGTCGGTGTGCTAGCTTGTTCCTTAACCTGAGCGCCATCTTCCCTACATATCCTACATATAATGGGAACAAGAATGAATTACTTTGTTTAAATGAGCTAAAACGTGTACAATACTCAGCAGGGCATTCAACATGACCCAAGGAGCCACCGTGGACCCCTTCGCCCCCAGGGTGCCGGTCTGGTCTCCCAGTACTCTCTAACTTAGGTCTTTTCAAGATAGTCTTTAGAACGATCAGGTCAAAATCCTATCTTTAAAATTCTTGACATTGCCGCACTATTCGTGGTAGCCAAAAGGTGGAAATAACCCAAGTGTCCCTCACCAGATGAACGGATCAGCTCAACGCGGTATAGTCATACGGTGGAGTAATTCTGCCATTACAAAGGAATGAAGTTCTGACGTGTGTTAGGATATGAATCAAACTTGAAAACATTACGCTAAACGAAACAATCGGACACAGAACGACAATATGGTACGACCCCATTTCCGTCCGTGAGAATGGACACACACACAGAGACAGAAAGTAGACGAGTGGAGACCACGGGCTGGGGGGAGGGGATAGGGAGTTACTGCTTAGCGGGAACTGAGTCTGTTTGGTGTGATGAAAACGTTTTGGAAACAGACAGTGGGGACGGTTGGAAGACTTTGGGAGTGTGATTAATGATACTGGATTGCACCCCTTAAAATGGTTAACATGGCCCATTTTATGTCGTGTTAAAAAAAAAAAGAAATATTGTTCCCCACCCTCTAAAAATTATTGAAAAGGCACTGATTTTGGAGTGTGTACTCAGGGGAAGCCTTGCTTCTCACTACATTTCAGAGCTTAGCATGCTGCCTGCATACAGAAAGTACTCAATGAACACTGGTCACGGTGCTGTGGGGGCACCCCATGCTCTGGCCTGCAGGACTGTCCCGGGTCCCCCTCATGGGCCTCACCCTCTGCAGCCTCTGTTCTTGGTGCACGATCGAGTCCAGCTCGGCCTGGAGGGTCTGCTGCTTCCACAACTGTGTCTGCAACGTGGCCAGGTCTCGCCAACCCTCTTCCAGAGCCACCTGGTTCTTCTCCCTCAGCCACACAGCCACCTGGGCACACAGGGAGGACCAGGCTCTGCTGCCTGGGACCCTTCCCTTCCCCCCAAACTCTGCCCCAGACGAAGGGTGGCTTCTCCTGCGACAACTCCTTCCCTCTCCCCACAACTCCCCACTCCCAAGCAAGGGGAACCTCATAGGAATCCTGCAGAAATGCCTGCAGCTGCTGCAGTTCTTCCAGCTGGTGGTGGCGGGTCTCAGCTCGCTGCAGGAGCGCCTCTTTCCTGCCAGAAGGAGGGGCTCATGGCTCCCAGGTCCACCAGTTAGGATGTGGACCTGCTCTGTGCATGCACCACACACACACACACACAGAGACAGACACAGACACACACACAGACACACACACAGACGCACACACACAGACACAGACGCACACACACAGACACACGTAGATAGAGACAAACACACACACAGATGCGCACACACAGACACACACAGACACGCACAGACACACACACAGACATGGACATGCACACACACAGACACACACACAGAGACACGCACAGAGACAGATGCACACACAGACACGGCAGTCTTTTTCAGGTATCAATAAACCTTAAGTCTGGGGTTTCCTCTGAAGTAGACACCCTTTCTACCCCCTCCTTTATTAGTGCCTGAATGCTTTTGTGATCATGCACTGCTATTAGCAGACATTTTTGAGCAAGCTCCCCTCAAATTTCTATTATAGTTATACACCTCTGTACCCATCTAGTAAATACATTGTTGTACGGACAAAAACAGAAATTAAAAATGAGATCTCATAAATAAAGAAGTTTTAATACCCATGCCCCCTGCACACCGCCGCCGACCGCCGCGCACCGGGCACTTGCGGTGTATGGCCCTTTGTCTTCCCCTGCGGGGCCCACCAAAGGCTGTGGGCGTCGGGGAGATGCAGAGAGGCTTGACAGAAAGGAACCTCCTCCCCGGGCAGGAGCCACCGAAGGTAACTGGGAGGAGGGGTTGTGCTGACAGATAGAAACGCACCAACCTTTGCCACTTGTTAACTCAGAGACCCCCATGGACAAGCTAGGTGGGGCCTGCCAGCAGAAGGGGGAGAGGAGAGTCCCCAGAAACACTGTGCGCTGCCGCGGGCTGCCTCTGGGATCCAGCCTGTAGCCAACTCTGCCTTGATCTAAACGTCTGAGTTGCTGGACGAGGCACCCAAACCAGATGAGCTTTTATGAGAAAAGCCTGGTGTTCGGTCAAGTGCATCTGTGGCAAAACTTGTTAAATTAGGTAAGAAATCTGCCAACTTGCCCATGTGTGCCAGGCACCGCTAAGAGCATCAAGGGTCACCTTCTCCAATGCTCACAGGAACTCCAGGAGGCAAGTATTTGTACCCCTCACTGTGGGCGTGAGACTCAGAGATGGTAGGGACCAGCCCGGAGTCCCGCCACCACCGCACAGCAGTGGAACTTGGCCGGCCTGACCTGCACTGGGCTACCTCCCCTTCCATTATACGCTTTCTCCTAGTGTCCTAGTAAACGTTTCCTTTGAAAAGCACCACCCTATCTCAGCGGAATTTAGAGGGAAGTTAAAGCTTCCATGTGTTGTTTCCAGTCCATGATGACTGACACACTCAGGGAAAAGGCTGGTGAGCCTGGGGCCAAGAGGTGGAAGGGCAGGAAGGGAAGAGCTGGGATGCCCCATGCCCACACCAGCCCACCCCCGGCTCCCACACCCGCCGGGCCAGGAGTACCTCAGGAGCACGGCCTGGCACCTGCCCAGGGCGCTCTGGGCCTCGGGGTGTCCACCCTGGCGCAGGCTGTGGGCTGCAGCCTCCAGTGAGCTGATCTTTCCCCCCTGAGCCTCCAGGCCCCGCTCGAGCACCGTGTGCTTCCACAGGAGGGTCTCCACATTGGCCAAGGGGTCCTGGTGGGAGTCGGAAAGCCCGATAGTGACCATGGGCTGCCTTCCCCGCCCTGATCCCAAACTATCTGCTTTTCCATCGAGAGTCATCCTACCAAGTCCTTGTCCACGTGGCAACTGCTCTGCCCCCAAAACCACACCCCTCAAATCACAGAGAAGCCTGGCGGCGGCAGTCGGCTACAGCTGCTAACCAAAAGATTGGCAGTTCAAATCCACCAGCCGCTCCTCAGAAACCCTGTGGGGCAGTACTCTTAAACCTGCGTCTGGCTATAGGGCAGTGATCCTCAGTCAGGGGCGGGGTTGGGGACAGGGGTCAAGTGTCAGAACTTCCAGGGTGGGGGGAGCTTTTTCACATGACCCAGGACCACACGTCCTCTGCAATCCGGGAAGACTATGTCAGCACAGGACAGTTGTCACTGTTGGGTGCTACTGAGTCGATGCCAACGCATAGTGACCCCATGTGACAGAGCAGAACTTCTCTGTAGGGTTTTCTAGGTTGTAATCTTTCCAGGAGCAGATTGCCAGGTCTTTCTCCTAAGGAGCTGCTAGGTGGATTTGAACTGCCAACCTTTTGGTTAGCAGTTGAGTGCTTGACTGTTGGGCCACCCAGGCTCCTTTCACATTATTCTCTGAGGTCTCCCGGGGGTCAGGCTCATCTGCCAAAGGGGTTGGGGCAGTGGTGGGGTGAATGGGAGGGGAGAAGGGCTGTGGGAAGAAGACAAGAATGGGTCCCGGGCCAGCGTTCACTCTCTGAGCTCCCATGGTGCTCTCCCGGGCCTAGCACTGTGCACACAAGAGACACTCAACGACCATTTGTTAACTGGCTGGTGGGTAAGTGGAATGTGGCTGAGGGAGGCGAAGCCAGAAGAAGGGATGATCCCCTTCAGCCTTGGGGGCTCCGGCAGCACTGACTGTTTATCCCTAGCTCTTCTCTTGTAAATTCTTCCCAGCTCCTGCTGGGCACCTACCGCCAGATCCTCACTCGCTAGGGAAGCTTCCTTCTTGCAGAGCCAACTTTCGATTTTCTCCACAGAGTTCAGAAACAGCTGTTGAGAAAGGAGAAGGCAAGAGAAAGTCAGCAGAGGGCCAGTCAAGCCAGGTGGGGTGACCCTTTCGATGGCCCAGGTTGGGGGCCAGGGGCTTGGGGCCTGGCTCAGCAGAACAAGTCCACAGCTTGCTCTGGGTGAGCTGAACAGCGAGGGGTGGGTGTGGGGAAAAGCCCCTGGCAAGGAGCCTCTCTGCCTTTAGCTTCCCCCAGGAGCTGTGGGGTTAGCGCAGGCCCCAGTGGGTGCGAGGGGAGGATGGAGGCTGGGCACGGGACTGTGCCTACCTGCAGCTCCAGGGCCTGCTGTAGCTGCAGCTGGTGCTCCCGCCAGGCCCCGTCCAGGCTGCTCAGCTCCTGTTCTAAACCAGCCAGGGCCTGGCGAATGTCAGGGGTACTCGGGTGCCCGGCTGGGAGCAGCCGCTGCCCAATGCTTCGGGCCAGGCAGATGCTGTCTGTTCGGGAGTCCAGCTCAGCCTGTAACAGGACTGGGTTCAGATCCCCAGAACTGAGGCTTTCCAGAGCTGGTGGAGGCCCAGCAGGAAGGAGGAGAGGTGGCAAGGACAGCTGGAGGAGTGGAACGGGAGAGGAGAAATGCAGGGGTGGGAGACGGAGACAAGAACCAAGAACAAGTTGGGAGCAGAGGAGCTGGGGGGCAGACAAGAGGCAGGTTCGCTCACCTTTCGCTCCTGGTGCTCCTCTAACCTACGCCGGGCCTCTGCAGCGCTGCCGGGAGGGCTTCCCATGTCCATCTCAGCCCGCAGCCCCTGGGCCCAGGCCAGCAATTCCTGCAGCAGTGCCTGGAGCGTCTGAGCTTGGTGCGAGGCGTCCAGCAACTCCTTCCTGCCCACAGGTGCCTCAGCTGGGGCCTCGAGCCCCGCCCTCCCCTGGGCCACCAGTGTCTTCTGCCCCTTAACCCCTACAGCCACACGCAGAGGCCTGGGGCTGGGGCAGGGAGTAGATGGGGTGACTGTGCAGGCCGTTATTTGAGAGTGGGGGAAAGACGCTTAGGGGAAACCTTGGGGGCCAAGGAGACGTGTGGCCTGATACGCTGGAGGGAATGGCTGGGAGGAGTGAGAGAAGGAGGCCCAGGTGGCCGTACCTCTTCTGGGCCCTGCTCTGGAGCTGCTGCCAGCTGTCTGTCATCTCCTGATGCTTGCGGCCAAGGCTGTGAGCTGCCCCGGGGCTCCTCTGGCAGAGGCGGACCACCTTACCCTCCAGGGGCTGTGGGGGAGGTCAGAGACTGGGCCAGCGGGCCAGACTGTGCTCAGGGGAGTCCCCGGCTGCAGGAGGCCCCTCACGTGGGGGTGTACGGTGTGTGGGCCTGGCTGGCCCCATGCCTGTCCAGGGTCCCACAGCGGAGGTACCCTGGGCCTCCCCCAAACCCATTGCACACCTCCACTTGGGCTTGGATGAGGCCCATTTCCTGCTCCAGCTTCTCATGTTTGCGCAGCAGCTTCTCCACGCTCTCTAGATCTTTCCCGCAGTCCAGGGCCTGGACCAAGGCGCTCTGGGGAGGGATGGGGGTGTCACAGGCTTGGCCTTTGCTCTCCTGCCCCTGGCTTTGTTCCACCCTCACTGCAGACGGCCTGGGCTTGGCCTTGCCATTGCCAGCTGCACAGCCTCAGGCAGGTGATGGAGCCTGTGTACCCATCCGTGCAATGAAAATATGGATGCCGGTCACAGGGCTTCCGTGTGGAAAGCCAGCACCCAGCATGATTCCCAGTGCTTAACGTCAGTTCCCTTCTGGTTTCCCTTCCGTGGGGCCCGAAGAGTCTTGGTCCCACCAGAGACCCCTCCCCATGTGAAGGAGGAAGATTCCCAGGCCAGACATGGGGTTTGGAGTTTCCTGGAGGTAATACCTCACATTCGTGTGATGCTTCCTCAGACATTGTCCCACCTGATTCTCATCCCTTTGGGGGACTCAGAAGTAAAGGAGGAGTCAGAACAATTAGACAAGAGCCCTTCCCAGCCACAAAATGGGAGCACACTCCCTCACTTCTGCCTTTGCCAGCTTTCTGCCTGCTTTTTCTCTGGGGGAAGCTCCTGTGGGTTCTGGCTTGCTCAGGGACAGGAGGACATCAAGGGACGTGCTCTGGATCCATGGTGGATTTAGGGAGAAAGGAGCCAGGGGGACCAGTCTCTGGGGCTGCAATGATGGGCTTCTATGGTCCAGAGCTGATCCCAAGAGCGGCCCATCAGATGCCCCTGGCAGATCCCCTGACAGACCCGTAGAGGAGCAAGAGGCTAGGAGACTCAGCACCCCTCGGCCTGACATGGTTTTGCTTGCAGCAAACATCAGGACTCTCTCCCTTGCGTACTTTCTCCACGATCCTCCCGGTGACATCATCCAGCTCACAGGACAACGTGTGTATCTCCAGGGCCCCTTCAAGCCGCCGCTGGTACCAGAGCAGGTTGCTACGGAAACCATGCCACCTGGAGGGGAAGGGGATGTCAGGCGGGGTCTGAGGTGGCCCCAGACCCACTGCCTTCCTCAGCTGGGACTGGCCTGCTGTTGAGCTGGTTTCGCCGCTGGCAGACGGTCTTGACCTGGTCGGGGTCCCGGATCTTGAGCTGCAGCGACAGGTCACTGACACTCCTGATGCGGACGTCATCCTGGGGGGCAGGGCAGGGTGAGGGCCCTGCACACTCCCTCAGAGCCCCTTCTTTGCACTGTGGTTGGTGCTTGGGGGGTCTGCTTGGGCCCAAGAGAGCATGAGGAGCGGCAGCATGTTTGGGGGAGTGGCAGGACCTGCTTCCTCCACCTGCCAGGTGCCTGGGGCCATGGCACCCCAGGTGCAGTGAGCGAGATCTCTTGATGCTTGCAGCCTCTGAGTTGTCTCTGAGGCCACAGACTGTGCTCCTCAGGTCGGGTGCCAGGTGGCAATGAAGGATGCGCGTGCACTGACTAACAGACGCTTTTAAAGTTAAAATGCAGCTTCTCGGGATAAGAAAAGCAAAGCGAGCAGTGGAATAAAACAGTGAGCGCCGCTCTCTTGGGGTTAGGGTGTCCCAGCCCCGAGGACTCGCCTGCCTGAGGCCACCGCGGCTCTGACACTGGTCCAGGCTTGTAGGCACACGGGGAAGGTGTCCCCGGCAGGGTAGGGGCACAGGCTCTCTGGCCCTAGTAAAAGCACCTAACGTTCACAGAGCTTGTTTACCATTTCCAAAGCACTTCCCTATGAAGTGTCCCAGACGAGGCAGGCAGGGAAGGCTGTTGCTCTCCTTTCCTAGAGCAGAGCCCAGAAAGGTAACACAGCCAGCTGTGGCAAAGCCGGGATACAAGCCTGCTCCTCAGCCTCCAAGTCTGGGACTCGTTCTATCACAGGACGCCATCTATCTGCCTAGTCTCAAAGTTCTGCCATTAACATGGATGCCTTCGATTGAAGCCCTGCAGCCTTTTAAAGAATTGTGTATGCACGTTGGTCTCTAAGCCTGATTGGGAATATCTGTCAGCTTTCTTTCCTACAAGTCACACAAGAGAAACAGATTCTTGGTGTGTGGCGGCAGGGGGACAGCGAGGTGAGGAGGAGACGCTGAAGGCAGAAGGGGTGACGAGCAGCTGCTCCTTACAGATCGTCTGCCACACTCCAGGCGTAATGCTCTCTCTTTTTTTTCCTTAACTTTCTATTTTAAAATAATTACAGACTCACAGGAAATTGCAAAACTAATGCAGAGAGGTCCCATGTACTCCTCCCCTAGCTTCCCCTAACAGTAACGTACCATTATAGTACAACAGAAAAATCGGAACGTTGACACCGGGACGATACTATTAACAAGACTACAGGCTTCATTCAGATCCCATCCCTCTGTACACGGGCTCATCTGTGTGTGTGTTTGGGGCTACAGTTCTGTGCAATTTCATCACATGTATAGACTGTGTGACCGCCACCGCACCCACGTGCCGTCTCACCCGGGAGGTAGGTGTTATAAAGACGCAGAAACCAGGCTTACTGCAGCTTCTGCAGGCAGTTAAAGTGTCGTGCCGACACTTGACCCCAACCTGGCTCCACGCTCTCACTACCCTTGCCGTGGAGTCGATGATGACTCACGGCCACCCTATAGGACAGAGCAGAACTGCCCCATAGGGTTTCCAAAGCTGTAAATCTTTATGGAAGCAGACTGCCACATCTTTCTCCCACAGAGCGGCTGGTGGGTTCAAACCACTGATCTTTCGGTTAGCAGCCAAGTGATGAACCGCGGCACCGCCAGCGCACCCTGCTCTCCCGATACTTGAGCTGCATTTCCCAACAGCAGAGGCCACAGCCAACCTCTCCCAGGGCAGGGCCCCCTTACCCCAGCCAAGGCTCCTCGCACCCTGCAGAGCTGCCTGGTGAGCTGCAGGCAGTGCTCAAGATCCTGGCCCAGGTCGCCGAAGTTCAGCATCCCCTCCTGTGGAGACCGAGGGCCCAGGGGAGGGGTGCTCTGAGCACAGGCCCCGGGCCCGCCCAGCCCCCTGGCACCCAGCTGCTGGGACTCTGTGGAGGTTTTGGGGACTTCCCGCAAGGGAATGCAGGCCCAGGGCTCCTCCCGACCCACCCTCACTCCACCTCACCCCGGCCCCTAGCTCTGCCCCTGACCAGCTGGGCCTCCACCTTCTCCTGGATCCAGGCCTCTGTGAGGTCCACTCTCTGCAGGAATTCCAGGAGGTCCCGCTTGTCCCTCAGGTCCTGGCCACGGAACGCCACAGCCTGCCTCAGCTTCTCCCAGTGCCCCTGCAGTGCCTGCAGCCTCTGCGAGACCTCGCCCGCCTGAGGGTGGCCCTGGGCCAGGAGAACCTCTCCCTTCTACAGAAAGAGGGGTGTTGGAGATCTTGTCTGAGGCCCTTCCTCCTGCTTTTCTGCCATCCCAGGCTCCTCCTGCCTAAAACCTCCCCCTTGGCCATGTGGGAGTCCACAGTTTGGGGCAGGGAGTAGGGAGGCACAGGGAGGGCCTGGCTGTTACCTTGGCAACAGAGGTTATGAACTCTTCATGGGCCTGGACCTCAGCCTCAAAGGCCTTGTGTTTCTGCAGGTGCTTCAGATTATCTTTCAAGTCCCCAGGAGGGACAGGCTCTTTCAGCTGCTGGGCCCTCTCCTGGATCCAGTCCTCAGCCTGTGGGGTGGTGGGGACGTGGATCTCATGATGCTCAATACTGCCTCAGCCCACAGAGACACCCTTGGGCCAGCCCCTCAGCTGTACCCAGCTGGCCAAAGGCTGGCCTCAGGGGCAGGGCTGGGTGGATCCAGGCACATGAGAAACAACGGTTTTAGCCCAGGAAGACACGCCCCAGACCCAGGAAGCAGCTGGGCAGGGGCCTTGGGTGGGCTGTCATGTCGGGGGGCGGCCCCGTACCCCTGGCCAACTGCTCTGCTCCAGACCCGGCAAAACGGGTGGGGTCTCCACCCACAGGGTCTGAGAATTGATTGTCCTGGGCTCCAGTCCCAGCTCAGCCCCTGGAAAAGCCACTGAACTCTCCAGGTCTCAGCTGTCTCATCACAAGGCTGTGACGAGGTGGTCACCCGCAAAGGTAAAATGCGGCCCAGCTGGGAGGTATCGGGCTGGGGCGCCCTCTGACCTGGGTTGCGGCCCTAGCAAAGCTGGCTGTCAGCAGCGAGGTGTGCAGGGCGCGTCGCCGGCTCTCTGCCAGGTCCTTCACATGAGTGCGCCGCTCCAGCACCTCGTCCAGTAAGCCCTGCACCCTGGGGCCCTGCAGCGCCTTTGCCTGCTCGCGCACAGCTGTCTCCTATGGGCGGGGAGGCACAGCCTGCGGTTCTCCGCCCTGGGGAGGCTAGGGCAGGGGCTGGCTCACAGGGCCCAATGCCCTTTCTGTGAGGGTCCTGAAGCCTTTCCCTCAGCTCTGCATGGCTCAGGGCTGGCCAGGGCTCCCAGCTCCAAGCTGCTCCCCAGTGACCACGTGATATGGACAGATGCCCTCTGTGGTCCCTGCAGTGTGGCCCACCCCATCCCAGGTGCTCTTCTGGAGCCACACAGGCAACTCTGCCCAGTCGTCAGCCCCATCGGGTACCCCTAGCTCCACGGTGCCGCCCACACATCAGTACTGCTTCTGTGTACACATCACATCCCACGTCCCCCCAAGAGTCTGGACTTCCCAACATGTACACACTTCCCCTACCCCGACCCCGACCGTGCCCAGGACTCTGCAAGCCCGTTACCTTCCTGTCCTGGGCAGTCAGCACCTTCTGGAAGGCCTCATGCTTGCGGATCAACTGCTCTACCTCTTCTACTGAGCTTCCCAGGGTGCTGGTTTTCAGGGAGACCTGCATCAGCCAACGCAAGAGTCAAAGGGGGAGTTGGGAGCCTGACCCCCAGAGAGCGGACGGCCATCAAGGCCTGTCCAGACGGCCAGCCCCTCTGTTTGCAGCCTGCGCAGGGCTCTTGGGGTGAAGCAAAAGGCCTGAGGCTGAGGCAGGCACTGGGCATGGGGGAGAGGAGCTCGGAGGCAGAGCAGCACCCCAAGCTGGGGGTTAGGAATAGCTTAACCTCTGACAAGGCTGGGTGCATGGTCAACCTCCCACCAAACCCTGCGGGGCTCGGCTGGGGTAGGGCGGCGGGGGGAGGATCCTGACTGGCCTGGGGACTTTGGGAGACTCAGGTGCCCCCTTGACCACCTAGTAGGACTAATCCTCATAACAGAAAAACAACAGAGACCTGGGAAGCAAGGGAAAAGCAGGGGAGGAGAAACAGAGAGGAGAGGAGACTCGTGTGTGTGTCTGTGTGTGTGTGTGTGTGTGTGTGTGTGTGTCTGTGTGTGTGTGTGTGTGTGTGTGTGTGTGTCTGTGTGTGTCTGTGTGTGTGTCTGTGTCTGTGTTGTGTCTCTGTGTGGGTGTGTGTCTCTGTGTGGGTGTGTGCGTGTCTGTGTGGATCTGTTGTGTGCATGCGTGTGTGTGGGTGTGTGTATGTGTGTATATATGTGTGTATTTGTGTGTGCGTGTGGGGGGTGGGTTGGTGTATTTGTGTGTGTGTGTGTCTGTGTGTGCGTGTATTTGTGTGTGCATGTGTGGGGTGTGTGGGTGTATTTGTGTGGGTGTGTGGGTGTGTATGTGTCTCTGTGTATGCGTCTGTATGTGTCTGTGTATGTATATGTGTATGTGTATCTCTGTGTGTGTATGTGGGTGTATGTATTTGTGGGTGTGAGTGAATGTGTATGTGTGTGTGTGCGTATGTACGTGTATGTGTGTGTGTGAATGTGTATGTGTGTGCATGTGTGTGTGCATATGCATGTGTGTGGGTGTGAACGTGTGTATATGCATATGTGTGGGGGTGGGGGTGTGGGTGTGAGTGAATGTGTGTGTGTATATATTTGTGTGTGTGTGTGGGGGGTGTGTGTGCGTGCGCGCACGTGTTACGGGGTGAGTGGACCTGCCTCTTGGGCCTGGAGGATCTTGTCCAGGTGACCACACTCTCTGAGGAAGAGCTGCTCAAGGTGCATGGCCCGCAGCCTCTCCTGCTTCCGCTCCCAGGCCTGGAACACCTGCTCCCGCGCCTCCTGCAAGGCTTGCAGCCTTTCCCGGACCTGGGGGTGAGCATGTGGCAGGGCCTGAGCTGGGGAGAGCTGTACGGACAAGACAGGGAGGTGGTCCCGAGAGAAGCCTCTGAGAAGAGGCTGGCATGGCACTTCCCCAGGTAGGGCAGGGTAGGCTGGGGGAGCACCAGAAGGGGGCCCACCTCCTTGGTGGACAGCCCTGCAGTCAGAAGTGCCTGCTGGCCCAGCTGGGTGGCCCGCTGATGCAGCTCTTCCTGGGCCTCCAGCTCTGCCCGAAGCTGTTGGTGGGCGCTAAGCTTTAGGGGGCCACTCCTGGGGTCCTGGGACCTCTCTTCTACCTGCAATTCCCGCTGCACACCGGCTGCCCAAGAGGCATAGTCCCGCACCTGGATCCCGGGGGAAGTGAGGGAGAGAGCGGGGTGAGGCTGGGGTAGGTGGCAGGGAACCAGACACCGAGGCCGTCACAGCCTGGACCCGCTCACATGGGGCTGCCCCGAGCTTTCCCAGCTCACAGCCTGGACCCGCTCACATGGGGCTGCCCCGAGCTTTCCCAGCTCACAGCCTGGACCCGCTCACAAGGGGCTGCCCTGAGCTTTCCCAGCTCACAGCCTGGACCCGCTCACATGGGGCTGCCCCGAGCTTTCCCAGCTCACAGCCTTGCACGAGGCTCACAGGCCCCTTTGTCACCTGGTTCCTCCATTCGCATCCACCGATCCTCCCGGGGCCACCAACCCTCCACGTGTGCTAGCTTCCCCACCTCCCGCTCCCCGAAGAACACATCCCAACCAAGCCTCATCTTCACCCTTTGCTCCTGCTGCCCCTCCTGCTTAAAGCTGCCTTCTCCTTCCTTCCCGCCTCTCCAAAGCCCACCCGTTTCTCAAGGGCGAAGGCCGTCTCTGCTCCCCGGAGCCCTCCTTAGCAGCTTGAGGTCCCATTGCTTTCTTTGTCTACTGACTGCCAATTTAACACTTAGAGATGATCTTTTGTTGAATCATGTAGAATCACTGCCAGAAGGTTAGAGCTGGAGAGACCGTGGACCCTCCTCATCCATTGCATTGTCTCATCGCATAGATGGGAGTTAAAAAGCACGATGTGTGTGAAAGAATTTTCTAAACTCTATGCACTCGACAAATGGAGGGGAGCAACCCAGGGCTAAGTGCCTTTGCTCAAGCCCACGCTGCTAGAAAGTGACAGAGCTGAGTGCCTGAACGCCAGCCTTCTGCAATGTCATAGTTTGGGCCCCCTGGTCTACCAGGTATTGCGACGTGGGACCCCTGGGACAGCCCATAGCCAGGACCCACTGTCCCAGTCTGACTCTCTGGGGTATGAGGCTCATCTCCCAGCTAGACAAGCTCCACAAGGGCAGCTATCCCATCTTAGATTGCTTCTAGTCACCCTCCTCTTCCCACCACAGCTCCGAGCAGAGCCAAGCACAGGTGTTGAACAGGTGCTGGTTGATCCAGAGGGAGCATCTGGGTCTCTAGTTAGGTAGGGGCTTACCTGGGCTGTTCTTAATCCGCAGCCTGACTGCCCCATCACTCACCTGGGCTGGCACTGATCCAAAGCTAAGGGGTCACTGCTACAGCCCATGTGCTAGGCCCTGTGACCAGCCACACGGACGTCCAGACATGCTCGTGCTGTTCCACCTCTGGCCACACTTGTTCTCCTTCCGGAACTGGAGGGCCTCATCGGCGCAGGCACATGCACAATATAACACACACACACACATACACACACAGACACATATACATGCAGACACACACACAGACACACACACACATAGGCGTTCAGACACACACAGACATGCAGACACACACAGAGACACACACACAGACATACATACACAGACACACAAACACACGCAGTCACACAGACACACGTGCAGATGCACACACACACATGCATACATGCACACACACACAGACATGCAGACACACATACACATAGGCATGCAGACACACAGACACATGCACGCACACACACACAGAGACACACAGACACACACATACACAGACGCAGACACACATACACAGAGATGGACAGACACACATGCACACACATATGCACACACAGACACACACATGCAGGCACACACACACACACGCATGCATACACAAGCCTCCTGAGGGGAGGGGGCACTCACCGCTGTGTGGAAGCGGGCCAGGAGGCATGCCTGCTCCAGCTGGGCCCTGTGCTGCTTCACGTGCCCCTGCAGGGCCGCCCAGGCCTGCACCACGGCCTGTTGCCTCCACCGCACGGCATCGGCCTGAGGCCCAGGGTGCATCTTCTGCACCCTGCCTGCAGCCTCCATCAGCTCCTGCAGCTGGGGGTCAGAGCAGGGGGTAGGGAGGGAAGGGTAGTGTCCTCCCTGAGGCCGAGGGGCCTGACCATTCCACAGACATGTTCCTTGCCTAGGTACCTGACCCCAGCAGGGCATGCCCTGCCATGCACAATGGGCCCAGATCCCGAGGGGGTGTGGGAAATCTAGAGGAAGTGATGAACAGATGGGCCAGGCCTGAGGGGGCCGCAGGGCCCAAGTGGGAGAGGCTGCCAGACCTGGGCTCACCTGCCGCTCGGTGCCCGTGAGTTCACGCTCCAGCCCCTCGTGTCTCCTCAGCTGGGCCTCTGCCCCACGCAGGTCTTGGGACACACCACCTGGGAGGCTCGTGGCTTTCTCCTGAGGAGGGGAGATGGCCCAGGGACCAGGAGGTGAGGGTGGAGCTCTGAGCCTAGGTGGGGCTCCATTTCTAGAATCCCCTCCTTCCCCTGGCTCACACCTGGATCTGGGCGAGCACTCCTGACAGATCTCTGTGAACTTCTAGGGTGATCTCAGCACCTCTGAGCAGGAGGTCTCGGGCCTGAGTCAGCTCCCACAGCTCCGACCAGGCAGCCCTGCCCCCAGGCACGCAGAAGACGGCAGAAGGTCAGCGGTGAGCCGGGTATCTCATTCCTCCCCCTCGGACTCGGTCTGGTCGGCCTCCTCCTTCCTGGGTGGTGTCCAGGACTTGCCCAAAGGTCCTGAATGGCTACTCCCCTTCCTAAACCTTTCCCCTGCTTCTGGGCCTGCCTGCAAACTGTCTTCCCAGGAACCTGTCCTTCTATCTTTACTGGGAATTTGCCACTTGCTACTACTATAGAGTCGCTATGAGTTGGAATCTACTCGACAGCAATGGGTTTGGCTTCGGGTTTTTCTGGTACTATAAACTTCAGCACTTCACTGCTATCTGTGCTTTGTGAGATTCCTTACATCTTGTGTGTTCACTGCTCAGTTGTTCAGTTAGATTGCAATTAGGCTGCAAACACTTTAAAGGTAGAGGCTACATCTCTCCATTTCTCGTTCACTCCGCTAACTCCCACTGAGTTCCTAAGACAGGCCAGGCTCTGTGCTGGGGACTATGAATAAATAGTGATCTTGCCTCAAAGCTCACCATCTGGGGTGGAGTCACACAGCTCGGTGGGCAGCTAGGAATGTGGTATTGCAGGGACTGTGACACAGGTAAGCCTGGGAGCTGTGGGGAAGCTTGTAGGAGGGAGCCTGGCCCCAGCCCAGGCAGGTTCCTCGGATCAGTCCTGGGAGCGTCAGCTTTTGGGCTGGGCTCTCTGACCTGCAAACCCAGCTTTGCCACCCTTCACAGGCCACAGCCACCTGGAACCAGCGTCCCTGGAACCAGCCCCTCTCCTGATACCTCGTGTGGCCCTCAGAGCCTGCCTGCCTGCCTTCTCTTAACACCCCAGAAACCGCCTGCCCAGCACCTTCGCTCCCACCCACGCCCCTGGCCCGGCCCGCTGCATGCTCACTGTAGGTCCTGCCACCTCTCATGGACGCTGGGTGCAGCACTGGGCCCGGCCTCCAGCAGGCTCTCCGCCAGCTGCTGACAGGTTGCCACCTGTTGACCACCCATCTCCACTTGGTGCTGGAACTTGGCAAACTTGGTCCTGAGGTGCTGAGAAGAAGAGAGGAATGGGTGGCTCCCAGCTGGCAAGGCAGCAAGCAGCTGGAGAAGTGAGAAGCTTCAGCGAGTGACTGGGTGAGGCAGGGCTGGCAAGCCGCAGCACCTGCCCACTCCACTCAGAAGAGGGAAGCAGGAGGCCCAAGCTGGTCCTCAGGCAGGACTGAGGACTCCCGACTTCCCTTTCTCCACACAGCCCAGCCAGGGCCAGCCTCCCCCGCCTCATCACTCTGCCTCAGGCCTCCCTCCTTGCCCCGGCCCTTTCCTCACTAGGACATGTTCGTAGTCCTCTCTGGGGCTCTCTTCTCCTCTGGCCACCTGATTCTGGCTAGCGAGCCAGCTCTGCAAGTCCTCGGCTTCCCTCGTGAACTCGTGCAGCTTCAGGGTCCTCTCCAGCTCCTGCTCCCTGTGGTGTCAGCCCGTGGTTCCCCAGCAGTTAGTTTGCCCATGCTTTGGGGGACAACTGAGCCAGTCAAAGGGGGCTACCCGCAGGATGAGGCTACTCATGGTCTTTGCCCAGCCTGCAGCTCTGGATTCAGGGAGAAGTAGACACAGGACGGTGAGTGTAGGGGCTGATGAGGAGTAGGGATGTGCGGAAGGGACAGATGACTGGAGTTGGAGGATCTGAGCTCCTGCCCAGCAGGCTCTCGTTGAAGAGTTTATGGAAAGTGGCATGCAACACACAGCAGGGACTCATCCTTCTGACACATCTCTATGGGCCTGGGTTCTTTTCAAGTCAGGGGTACCATGTGGGGAACAGCCAACCCCAGCCAGGTTCCCAGTACCCACTGATGAGAGACGTTGTGGTGACCCTCACCGTGTGGCTGCCAACTCCTGCAGTTCCTGCAGCTGCTTCCAGAGCTTCTCCTGCATCATTGCCAGCTGCTCAGGGTTGTCAGGCCCAGTGAGGGTTTGGGCCCTCTGGTCAAGCTCCTCCATGAAGCTCCAGTAAAGAGCCAGTTCCTGCTGTAGGGCCTGTCAACATACAAAGACTCGTGCCAGGCTCAGACTGGGTGATTGTCATTCATCTATTCATCCACCCACCCACCCAGCCACCCATTCACTCCCCCACTCATCTGCCCACACACTCACCCGCCATCCCTCTGCCCACTCATCCATTCACCCTCCCACCCACTTGTCCATCTATTTATATACTCGCCTGTCCATCCACACATTGATCCACCTGTCGATTTACTGATCCATCCACCCACCCACCTATCCATCCATCTACCCACTGATCCATCCATCCATCCATCCAACATCCAGTATCAATGGAGCACTTACTGCCCCCATAAAAGTGAAGACACAGTCTGGGCTCTCAGAGGGCTCATTATTTACCAGGGAAGGGTGAATGGTGGGTAATCTGGGCTAAGGAAGGGAGAGAACAGGAGGCATTCAACTAGATCCCAATGCCAAAGCGTAACAGTTGGAGAGCATTAACTAAGCTCCCAGGTAATGCCTGGGCACTGAAGCTCCATGAGGTGAAGGCCACAGCCATGGCCCTTTAGGAATGACTCACGGAGGTCTTTAGACCCAGGACCCACTGAAACACTGACCACTAAGGCCATGCTGAACAAGTGCCCAGATGAGGGGACACTTGAGTGAAGACAGGACACAGGGCTGCTGCATGTCCAGGCTTTGCATCCTGAATGGTTCTGAGAACCAGTTCCCGGGACGAGGAGATGAGCTCCAGGCCTCCCTCCTTTAATCAGGGGAGGCTATGGGAGGAGGTAGCTTTCGGGAAGGGCATTTGCTTAACTCAAAGGATGCTACTCAAACTTTGGGCAGTGGGGGAAATCTTTGGAAGATGTGGAGAGGGCTAGAGAAGGTGACCCCAAAAGGGCAGAAGAATGGGGGAGGGGAGGGGAGGAAACAAGGAGAGAAGACGGGAACCCAGAGGTCACAGGGAGAGGCAAGGACAGCAAAGGGACTAAAGCAGGGAGAAGGCTGTCTTAAATCACAGTGCCTGGGGTTGCCTCTGAAGAAGGGGAGTGCTGGGGTGGGGATGAGGGAAGCTGCAGGATTTGGGTGGGGTGGCAGGGGACTGGCTGGGTCTTTAGGAAGAAAGAGCAGGGCTCTGTGCCTCCCTGGGGACATGACAGTCCCTTTCCTCATGGCCCCTGGTCACTCAAGTCCAGACAGTGTGTGTGTTGCAGGGGAGGCTCAGGGTGTGGTACCTGGTGCTTCTTGATGAGACTGAAGGTGGCAGCCTCGTCTCCACCGCAGTCCTGACTGCCCACCAGTGGCCGCTTCTCCTCCACCCAGCCCTCCAGCTCCGACATATCCAGATAATACTGCTGAGAATGGTTCCGAGTCACCTTGGTGATCTCAAGCGGGGATCCCCCATCAATCACACCCTGGGGACAGCATGCCCCTGCTCTCCAGCAGCCAGCACAAAGGGGCTGCTGTGCCCAGGTGGGGGCCAACTGGCTCCTGGCCCTGATTTTGTGCCACTACCACTGGCCCACCTCTCTGAGAGTCCCAGATCCACAGCCCCTCCCCCACAGAGCCTGCCCCAGCGTTTGCCACGGTCCCCTGGCCCCTTGGTCTCTTCATCCTACCTGCTGGGAAGCAACAGCCTGCTGCAGGCGCTGGGCCCGTATTGCACACGCCTGCTGCAGCTCTGCCCAGCACCCTTCCAGCTTCCGGCATTGCTCCCTGATGTGCTGGGCGTGGGGGTGTCCTGAGGCGGCGAGGCTCTGTCCAGAGCCCAGCACCCGCTGCACCTGTCCCCAGTGGCTTTTCACTGCAGCCTGGAGCGCCTGACACACAGCAGAGTGAGACACCCTGAGCCACCGGGGGCCCGGGCCAGAGCCACAGCTGTGTCTCCAGGCTCCAATCACGGCCACAAACCCCGGGCCCAGAGTAGCTGGGGGCAGAGACTTGGAAATCAGGACAACGAGAGAAAGAGGATTAGAGGCCAGGGTGCCCTGAGAAGGGCAGAGAGAATGGGACGTCAGCGATCCTGGGAAAATGAGGGGGCTCTTACCTTGTGCTTGTGGCGAAGGCGATGGGCACCACCCAAGCACTTGGCACAGCTGGTGGAGCTGGCACTGGGCATGTGCTCAGCCACCCAGGTGAGCTCCAGGTTGCTCAGGTGGCAGAACTCGTGCAGCTCAACCGAGGCCTGTAGCTGCAGGTGCTGAGCGGCCAGGTGCCCCTGCAGGGACTCGAGCCTGGGTGGAGACAGACAAACTGAGAGAGCTTGAGAAGTGGGTGAGGACCAGGCCCTCAGTCCTTAGCCCACCGGGACCTCTGAGGAGCAAGGTGGGGGAACTGAGGAAACGCCTTGTCTGATGAGGTGGCAGCTGGAGAGTCCAGGGCTCCCCCTCACTGCCCAGAGGACCTGGCTGGCTCCAGACTGCAGGACGCCCTGCTTAGGATGCCTAACTGGGGTCTCTGGCCCTCCTATCCCAGGAATGACTCTGTTCACAAGGGAAGGGGGTTTGGGCAACCTCTGATCCTAGAGGTGCCACCCTCCTGTACTCACTGGGTCAAACTGCCCTCAAATTAAGTGGGACAAGAGACACACAGCTGGGTGAAGATGGGACAAACAGGCCAGCGGAGGGACAGGGCCCCACCTCTTGAGGTACTTCTGGGTCTCCTCCAGGAAGCTCTGGGAATTGAGCACACGGTGGGCCTGGGAGGTGAGGGCGGCCATCTTGCTGGCCAGAGCCTGGCTCTCGCCTTCCAGTTGGCGGTGCTGTTTCTGTAGCTCTCGGCTGGAGCGCAGGTCCTGCCCCGTTCCTGCACTCTGCAGGGCCTCCTCTAGCTGCTCCAGCTTCTCTCCTGCCTCCTGTGGAGGGATGTAGGAGGCTGCATGAGGCTGTCTGCATAAAGGACGGCAGGTGGTCCCTCTTGGGCTCTGCCTGCCCACCTAACCAGAGGCCGCAGTGTCTGAGACTTCGGTGCTATATGCACATCAGATTCACCTGTTGGAGACCTCTGCCTTTGCATTGTCAACCCGTGACCAGAGGTACCCAAACCTTCTCCCAGAAGCCTCCTGAACACCCCAGCCCCTTCATGCTTCTTCCTCCCCAGCTGACCACGCCCCGGGCCCACAGGAGACAGTCCTGCAACTCTCTACCGTTGGCTAAAGCCACGCTCAGCTTGCTGTAGGCCAGGGACCTCCAAGCACTGCAGGACTTCACACGGCACTCCAGAGTTAGCAGACCACCCAGACTCTTCCTCTCCTCTTCCGCTTCCTGCCTGCTCCCACCCCGCCCCAGCCCAGCCTCAGTGTCCCTCCTTTGCCCTGCACCCCCTCAGCTGACCAGCAGCAGCTCCAGGAGCTCCTCCCGCTGTCTGGCCTGCCGGAGCTGGTCCCCATGCTCCGCCATCTTGTGGTTCAACTCCTTCCATTGGCGACTCAGGCCCCGAAGCGTGGCCTGCACGTCCTCCTGGGCATCCTGGGCATGAAGCCCACTGCTCAACAGCTCTCTCCCAATCTGCAGTGGAGACAAAGGCCCAGGGAAGCTTGCTGAGCTGCTGGCAGGTGGCTGGCTACAAGCTACATTCCACAGGCTTCCCAGGCTCCAGCAGTTCATTGTGGCCCCAATCTGTGGGCAGAGGCGAGGGCTTTCCTCTGAGCCCTGCAAGCAGAGCAGGTGAGCAGGTTGACGGCTGGGAAGAGCTTGGTTCTGGTGGAGGTGGTGGGCGCTGGAACTCACCCTGGTGAGGTGGGGGAAGGATAGCAGCAGCTCTCAGGGCTGGCTTGGGTGCCAAGGCAAGGGCATGCCCAGCTGCGTGAAGGAGGCAGCGGGGGATCCTAACTCCACAGTAACTGGGGCTAATTCTTCCTTCAGTTAGTATGGATCCTAAAGACGTGCAGTGCAGTCTGGTTGGGAGTTGGAGGACGAGCTGGCCCTGCACCCTCTGTCCACCGTCCCTACCTGCTGCAGGTCCTCCACACGCCTGTGGGTGGCCAGCAGCTCTCTCTCAGCTGCTTCATGCCACCTGAGTTTCCGCAGGATGTTCCTGGGCTCTCGGGAGGGCTCATCTGCTGCAATCAGCTCCTTCTCCTTTATCCACAGTGTCAGCTCTGCCACATCCTGCCTCCATTCCTGCCCAAGAATGGCAGTGTTATGGACTGAATTGTGTCCCCCCAAAATGTTTGTCAACTTGGCCAGGCCATGATTTCCAGTATTGTGTGGTCGTCCTCCATTTTGTGATCTGATGGAATTAGCCTGTGTGTTGTAAATCCTAACCTCTATGATGTTCATGAGGCAGGAGTAGAGGCAGTTATGTTAATGAGGCAGGACATAATCTACAGAATTAGGTTGTATCTTGAGTCAATCTTTTTTGAGATATAAAACAGAGAAGCGAGCCAAGAGGAGAGGGACATCGGTACCACCAAGAAAAAAGAGCCAGGAGCGGAGCATATCCTTTGGACCCCAGGTCCCTGTGCCGAGAAGCTCCTAGTCCAGGGGAAGACTGATGACAGGGACTTTCCCCAAGAGCTGACAGAGAAAGCCTTCCCCTAGAGCTGGTGCCCTGAATTTGGACTTCTAGCCTCCTAAACTGTGAGAGAACAAACTTCTGTTTGTTAAAGCCATCCACTTGTGGTATTTCTGCTGCAGCAGGATGTCATGGATTGAACTGTGCCCCCCAAAAATATATGTCAACTTAGTTAGGCCATGATTCCCAGTATTGTGATTGTCCTCCATTTTGTGATTTTCCTATGTGTTATAAATCATAATCTCTGCCTGTTGTTAAAGAGGATTAGGGTGGGATGTAACACCCTTGCTCGGGTCACATCCCTGATCCAATGTAAAGGGAGTTTCCCTGGGGTGTGGCCTGCACCACCTTTTATCTTACAAGAGATAAAAGGAAAGGGAAGTGGGAGACCTCATACCACCAAGAAAGAAGCGCCAGGAGCAGAGCATGTCCTTTGGACCTGGGGTCCCTGAGCCTGAGAAGCTCCTCGACCAGGGAAAGATTGATGGCAAGTACCTTCCTTCATAGCCAACAGAGAAAGCCTTCCCCTGGAGCTGATGCCCTGAATTTGGACTTCTAGCCTACTAGACTGTGAGAGGACAAATTTCTCTTTGTTAAAGCCATCCACTGTGGTATTTCTGTTATAGCAGCACTAAATAACTAAGACAGGGAGAGAGTGGGCCTCACAGCCTGGGAGCAAGGCTGGTCCAGGGAGCTCTAGGGAGAAGGGTCTATGGGACACCTGTGGGGGAAGAGCAGGGTCCACAGCCAATTTTGGGGTCCAAGAGAGGTAGGGCCTGAGGTTATTGCTCTGCAAATGGGGAGCAGAAAACCGAGAGGATTGGGAGGGAAAATGTCTGAGGCAAAACAGTAGAAGGAGGCCCCAGGAGTCAGGCTGGGGCCTCACAGCGCCCTGTGCCAGAGACGAGGAGCACCTGGTTGGGTCCCCACTGCTCCAACCACACCGGGTCTGGTATTGGCCATATCACTCCAAACAGGCTCAAGCTGTGTGAGCCTGTGGGCTGGCCCAGCTCTGAGCACCTATAAGGGGCTGAACAAACATCTGATAGAGCCAAGGTCTGCAGTTGGCACCCACGCGTGGCCCATGCAAGAATCTAAGTGTGTCCAAAACCGATGGAGATGAGAGCATAACTTGATGAGGGAGAGTGTGGGGTTATTCAAGAGGCCTGGACGTTAGTCCCAGCCCTGCCTCTGACAGTAGAGTGCCCACGGCCTCAGTCTTCCTCATCTGGAAAATTCAGGGCCATAATGCCTGCTTCAAAAGGTGTTCTAACAACGACGACATAATGTGTGAAAAGTGCTTTGTAAATTGCAAAGTGCGCCATATTCTTTCATCGTTGTCAGGGCAGCAGTGGCATCTGAGGATTCCTATTGGGAGGCCTCACGCGCCTGAGCCAGGGCTCTGCTCTCACCTGGAGCTGGAGGGAAGCCAGCAGCTGCCTCCTCCTCTGCTCACTCCTCTCCCGGGCCCTCGTCCACTGTGCCTGGACACTCTGCAGCCGCTCTCTGACCCTGAGGCCAGGAGGAGGTGGAGGGTGTGGGTGAGGCCTTCACTCTGCCCAAGGCCTATCCCAAAGGATGGGCCCATCCAGCCCAAGGTACGCCCTGTGCTCCCCCGCTGGCCACCCACATTCCTGGGTCGGGGGGCTCCCACCAGCCTCAGCGCAACAGTCTGCGCAGGCTAACAGAGAAGGAGAGGGCAACTGAGGCCCAGACTCACGTGTGTGCCGCAGGGAGCTGGCTCTGGACCAGCTGCTCGCCATGTGCCTGCAGAGCCTCTGCCCGAGGGCCCAGGCTGTCCAGGAGCCTCTCAAACTCTTGATGTCGCTGCAGCAGGCTCTGGGCCTCCCCCACGTCCTCCTGAGGGTGTAGAGGCCTGGGTCATCCTGGCAGGATTGGGTCGGCACTATCTCACCCACCGAGCGCCCAGGGGTCCCCTGCTCAGCCTGGCTTCTGGGCCACAGGAGATGAGCTCCCTTCAGTGTTGGGGGAGCAGCTCCCCAGCTCCCATCCCTGGCTGCATACCCCGAGGTGGTCCAGATGCAGGAAGGCCTCTCGGTTGGCACAGGCGGTAACGAAGCCATCTGCTTCCCGGCCAAACCTCTGCAGCTCCAGCGCCTCCTGCAGCTGCTGCTGTCGCTGCCCCCAGGCAGCCCTCAGCTCCCTGCCTTGCTGGCCCAGGAGCCCCAGAGCGCTAGTCACCTCTCGGGAGCCCGGGGAGTTCAAAGCCGCCACGTGCTGGCCCTGAGCCTCCAGCTGCTGCAGCCTGTCCAGGATGACAGATAGAGGGTGAAACCCCTCCAGCTCCACCCACCCACCTTCTCCCCCCTTGCCTCCATGCTTCCGTCATCTCAGAACTCTGATGCGAGGGTACTAGCAGGAGGGGTCTGAGGCAGCTTACTCATCCCAGGGGACAGCTGAGCCTGGCCCACCAAGGAGGCACTGAGGATACAGGTCCACCACCGGGCTTAGGGCTCAGGTGCACGATCATTCCCAGGCTCCCTGCATGTCATAGCCCTTCCTCTAGCTGGCTGTCCTGCAAATGTGGCCTGCTGGTGGCCAATGTCTCACCAAGATCTTACCATGGCTGGGCTAGCACAATAGTGAAAAATCACTCAGACCACAGGCCTGCCTACAGGACCACTGTTAGTCCATATGGAGCCTTCAAACAATTAGAAAAGGCGCTCCCCCTTCAGCCTGGTGGGGCACAACCCACAGGTATCCAGTTGGGGACAGCTAACGCCTCTGTGTGGATTAGAAAAAGGCTCCACTTGCTCGGAGGGGAGGCAGCCCTGACCCAGGTGGCAGGGTCTGGCGAGCAGAGGATGGGATGGATTTCAGCACCCACTGGACCACCAGTCAGCCTCCCCCAGGTGGGGCACAGCCTGCAGGCTACATGTGGTGCCTTGCAGGCCCGAAGGGCACTAATGTCATGACTGAGTGAGGAGAGGCACTGCCAGGCTGAGGAGCTGTGCATCTGAGTCCCAGGGTGAGTCCTGAGCCACCTAACCCCAGGGCCCAGTGGGGTCTGGTTACCCAGAATGCCCCGGGAGGCTAGGCCGCCCTGACTGCATGCAGGCTACGAGGCTCACCTGAACTGGGTCTGGCCAGGCCCAGGATGGATAGAACCTCCCAGGTAGCTCAGACTAGGCCCAGATCCCTTCCTGAAGTACGCAGAACTCCCGACCTAGTCCTAGGTTACATCCTCCCTCCTTGTAAACCTGCCTCAAGCGTCATGGAGGACACTCGCCTGGCACTCCCCTGGGTGGCCACACTGCTTCCTGCTGCTCCCTCTCTGGGCCTGTTTCTAGCCCGAGGCACGCCCTGTCTGTCCTCTTGTCCTGACCTCTCCTGCCACAGGCAGATCTGCTCCAGCAGGTCTTGGTGCTCCGTCAGCAGCCGCCGGGCCGAGGCCATGTCCACCACCTCCTCCTTGCTGTGCAGCTGAGCCCGGACACCCTCCGCCCACAGCAGCAGCTGCTGGCTCTCCTGCAGGATGCCGCGCCGGGCCTGAGCCTGGGCCTGATGGGCCGCCTGCCCCTGAGCTCGCTTCAGCACCACCTGCAGTGTCTCCACCTGTTCTCGCAGGGGCTGGCTCTCTGCGGGGGCCAACTCCTCCACCCTGGGAGACAGGGCCACTGCACAGTCAGTGCCCTGCCTGCCCTGGGCCTGGTGCCCCGGGCACAGCTCTTCTGCCCCGGCCCGTGTGCCCCAGGGAAGGTGGTGGCGACTCTGAACTCCCACCTCACCTTGACCTATGGGCAGTGGGAACGTGACTTTTCCCTTCACCCTGAGCATTTTCCCACCGTTTCCCCCAGCGTTGCCCCAGCCCTTCCAACAGCACATCCTCCCAATTTCTGTCCCCTTCCCCTCCCACAGCCCTGCTCAGGCCTCTCCTCTGGCTCCGCTGTCTGCCAGTGTACCGCCACTGCACCCAACCCGTACTTCACGGCCATGCTGTGGAGGTGGTGGACCCTCCTCTCCAGCACTAGCATCTCCTGCCGGGCCAGCTGTAGGACGCGGGGGCTGCCCTCTGAGCTCCCTGGCTCCAGAGCTTCCAGCCGGAGTATCACATCCTGCAGCTGGGCCTGAGTGGAGCCACACTCCTGCAGAAAACCACACACATCCGCGGTGCCTGCGAGCTCCGTCTCCTTCTGCTTCCTCAGGGCCTCCAGCTGTCTCCACCTGGGCACAGGGCACCCGACATGTCTCCGTTACAGGGAAGCCTCCTATCCACCCGGGGCCTTGGACACACGGCAGAAGCCACCAGGCTGGCCGTTCCCAGGCCCTCTCCTCCGTGTCTCTGACATGCCAGCCTCTCCACCTGGTATCTGGGGGCAGGTGAGCAGGCACTCAGGCCTAGTGTCCCCCTGCCCATCACCCTGCATTGCCTCCACACTCTCACCTCCGGCTCAGTCCCTCCTGCTGCAGTTGGACCTGTGCCGAGTCCCGAGGATATCTTTGCTTCAGGTGCTCAGCAGAGCTGCTGACCTCAGCCCAGCGGCTCTTTCCCGCAGCCAGGGTGGCGAGCAAGTTCTGGGGAAAAGCAGGACCCTGGCCTCTGAGGGGCTTGCTCTTTTCCCATACTCCCCTCGAGTCTACAATTGACCCCCACCACGCTCTATGCCACAGAGAGGCTCAAAGCTCCAGGCCAACGTCCCTACCCCCATTCCTCAGACAGACCACAGTTCGCACGGAGAACAGAGGCATAGGAGTGAATCACGGGGAGGCAGGAAGGCGGAGAGGGACAGGAATCAGGATGGGGAGCAGGGCCAAGTGTCCAAGACTCCCTGGGTTCTGAGGGAATTGCACCTCATATTTGAGCTGCACGGCCACCAGGTTGTCGGCCTGGGGCTGCAGCGTTTGGAACAGCGCTGTCTGGTCCTCCAGCCAGGACAGAAGATCTCCACAGGAGCTGTAGAAGCCAGACAGGGCCACCGCCTCCTCCAGCAGGGCCCGGCGGTGCTGAGGAGAGGCAGACCAGGGGCAGGGTGAGGGAGGGCCAGTGCCTGCCAAGGTGCTCAGAGCAGGTGGAGGGGTGCTGTGCCCCACCCTGCCAGCAGAGACTGGGGCCAGTGCCATAGGGGATCCTGCCCCTCCAGTGAGCCCTGCGCTCTCTGTCAGGGGCCTTCCAGGGGACGGAGCAGGCAAGAACTCAAGGTCGTGGTGAAAGCCAGAGCCTGCTCTCACCCCACCCCGTCCTGCTCAAGGCCCTTCAGTGCCACCACTGTTCTGAGGTAAAATCCACACTTCCTATGGGACTTGGCTCTGCCTGGCGGGCCCCCTGCCTCTCCTCCAGCCACTGCCTCCCCAGCCGCTGTGCTCCAGGCAGTCTGGCCTTCACTTCCTCCACTGGATCTCCTTCCTGCCTTTGCACTGCCACCCACCCCTCCTCCCCCCCGCCGCCTCCCCTTACTGCCCTCTGCTTGTTGCTGTTCAAGCCTCAGCTTAAACATCCTTTCTTCAATGATGCCTTCCCTGGCCCCCAGGGTGACCATCCACCTGCATCCCCCGAGTGACTTGTCTGCAGCCCCTTGGCCATGATGTAAGCTCTTTGGGGTGGGGGGAGCACGTTCAGTCATGGCGCAGGGTCTGGCACAGAGCAGGAGCTCAAGGAACACTTCTTGAAGAAAGGGGGTCACCTCCGCCAGGGCTCGGAGGTCCTCATAGTCCTGCCGCAGGCGGTCCTGTGTCTGGAGTATGGTGTTGGGGTCAAAGTCAGGGTCAAATGTGCTCCAGCCCCCCTGGTTCTTCAGGCCTTCCCCTGGAGGGCGCAGGGAAGACGCTGCCTATGCAGAAAGAGGGTAGCTTGTCCAGAGAGGCATCCACCAGCCCAAGCAGCAGAAGGCATCGCAGGGTAGGGCCAAAAGTTGTACCTGGGGCTCCTGCTCCATGCCAAAGCTGAGGGCCACCTTGGCCTGGCAGGCCTCCTGGTCCTTCAGCTCCCAGGTGTCGGGGCCCGTCTGGTGCACCGGGTCCAGTGCCACCGCTGGGAGCCAGGTGACATGTGCCCCTGTGGGACCACAGGCTCTGGGGGCTGCTTGGTCCCACTCTCTTCCCCACCCAGCAGCTCTCCAGGGGAGGGCAGGATGATTTACCACTTACTGCTCCCCTGTGCCTGGCCTTGTGCCAGCAGCATTCGGGGCTAGAGGAGAGGGACCGTCCCACCCAGGGGCTTACAATTCCTCACAGACCCAGAGCAACTGGACACGACCCAGGACTGTCCACAGACAAGCAGAGCGTGCGTGGTGTCCAGGAGGAGAAGACCAGAAGAGTCTGGGGCAGTGGGAAAGGTTTCAAGAACAAGGCAGGACTTTAACAGGCAGCGCCAGAGAAGCAGCATTGACAGAGGAGGCAGGCAGAGAAGGACGGGGAAGGCTGGTGCTCCTCCTTTCCTCTGTGCCTCTGCGCCCAGGCAAGCATCAGACAGCAGCGTCTGTCCGATGCCTGGGGTTGGGCTGAAGGGACTAGAGAAAAAGGAAATTGTTGTCGTGAGCTGCCGTCGATTCAGTTCCAACTCATAGTGACCCCACGTGTGCAGACTAGAACTGCTCCATTGGGTTTTCAAGGCTGGGACCTTTCGAAAAGAAATCACCAGGCTTGTCTTCCGAGGCACCTCTGGGTGGGTTTGAACCGCCAACCTTTCAGCTAGTAGTCAAATACTTAACTGTTTGTGCCACCCAGGTTCTCCAGGGGAGAAAAGGAAAAGGTACAGGAAAGATTGGAAGGGGAAGGGGAACAAAGTGAAGCACGGAGCGGGAGAAGGCAGGCTCAGAGAATCCCGGGCTGGAAGAGGACTGTCCTGCGCGACCATCTCTGCTACCCCTTGCCTGGCGTGAAACCACCTCCTCCTGCAGCTGCCTGGTGACGGGAACTCACTCCTGCCCCGCAGCCCAGCCTATCTTTGGGCAGCTTCAAGCCCCTCCTCCTCCTGAGCCCCACTTGGTCTCCCCTTAGCGTCTTTCCTTCAGTCCTTGGATGCCCCAGAGAGCCACACAGAATAAGTCTAACCCCTCGCTCATGACAACCTGTTGAGGCTCCCACATGAGTTCTTGACAGGTTACCAGGGACATCCTGCAGGTCACACTGTCCTCCCTACAGAAAGGGGGGCGGTGAGGCCTCTCAGGAGCCACGCCCCGGCTCTCGTACCTCTGTAGGTGATGTGCGTATGGACCTGGGGTAATGCGTGCTGGCTGCCTGGCACTGCCAAGATTTGGGTCCCATCCTGGGCTTGCCCAGCCATGTCCCCATCAGTCCTGCTCCAGCCTTCTGGGGACTCCCCCTGTATGGAAGAGGCAGAGGAGAGAAGTCTTTATTCAGCAGCCAAAGTGACTCCCCACCCCCAGCGGAGAGGGCACCTCTCCACCCCCACCCAGAATTACTGGGCAAAGCTGGAGTCTGGAAGTGCCAGGGGCCAGCCTAATACCCCATCAATCCAGCACCCCTGAGCAGTAGAGGACACAAAAGCCGGATAAGGCATCTCCCATCCGCTCAATTAAACAATGAACTCAAACTGGAGAAACAGCATGAGGAAGACAGCATTAGAGTCCGGTAAGAAGAGCACAGCGTGTTACTAACGTCCGCATAGAGGAAGACAGCATTAGAGTCCGGTAAGAAGAGCACAGCATGTTACTAACGTCCGTGCTCGGAGGTAGTGGATACTCAGGGTGGGGTGGGGTAGGAACAGCCTTGGGCCCAGAGGTGGGAGGCCTCTCCAGCAGGGACAACGGCACCTCCTCGGGCAGGAATTTGGCCTCTCTGAGCCTTGTTCAGTGAATTGGAATCAACTGGACAGCAACGGGTTTTTTGTTTTTTGCCTGGGTTACTTTATCTGTAAAGTGAGGGGATTAGACCAGACAGTTGCTAACATACTACGGATCAGATTTTAAAAATCATTAATTATGTCATCCAGGGAATAAATAGAAAGGAAAAATGGAAGATCAATCTAGGCTAAGTTAAAACTATGAAGCTTTCGGACCTCGAAGGGATGTGAGGTGCCACACAACAGGTCATTGCAGGCTGGGACCAGAACCCAGGGCTCCCGTCTCCAGTCAGCAACTGATGCCTCTGCCAGGTGCCTCCCAAGATATAGAGGACCTGAGCTGCAGCTCAAAGGGTGGACGGGGCATGGCTGGGCAGAGAGAAGGAGGAGGGGTGCCCGGGCAGGAAGAAGCAGGCTGGTGTGGCAAACAGAGATTACAGATTGAAAGCTGAGCTTCCTTGGCGAGGGCGGAAGAGGAGGCCAGTGTGAAGCCAGGGTCTAAGGGCCATATTTTACACATCTTGACTTGACCTATAAGGCTTCTTGAAAGGGGCTGTGAATCATTATGGGGCCAGCCCAAACTGCCAGGACCACACGTTTTAAAAAACCTGGGGGCCCAGTGAACTGAGGAAGGAGCTTCAGAAAGCAGCCTCGGTAGTGTTCACACCACACAGTTCCTGTTGTGTCAGTTCTGACTCATGGGGACCCCGTGCATGTCAGAGTAGAACTGTGCTCCATAGGGTTTTCAATGGCTGACTTTTCAGAGGTAGATAGCCAGGACTTTCTTCTGAGCTGCCTCTGGGTGGACTGGAACCTTTTGTTAGCATCCCCCAGAGACTCCTTGCTTAGTGACTATTTTTAGCAACTGTCGAGTTGGCCCCAGACTTACGGTGACCCCATGCACACAGTGTTGTTGTTAGCCCCCAACTCATGGTGACCCCAGGCACAACAGGACTGAATTGTGGTCAACAGGGTTTCCACGGGCTGAGTTTTCAGAAGTACATCACCCAGCCTTTCTTCCTAGTCTTGGTCTGGAAGGTCCGCTGAAACCCGTTCAGCATCTTAGCAACACCCAAGCCTCCACTGGCAGACGGGTGGTGGCTGTGCATGACGTGCATTGGCCAGGAATCAAACCCGGGTCTCCCACATGAAAGGCGAGAATTGTACCACTGACCACTGAACAACCACAGCTTAGTGATCAGGTCCTCCAAGACCCACGAGAGCCAAGTCAGGAGAAGGAGCCAAACATTTCGGGATGTCCGAGCGGAAAGAGACTTAAGGACACTTCAGCAATGAAAGCAAAGGGGTCATTCCTGGAGGAACCTCATTAACGCTTGGAAACTACTGGGCAAAGGGAGCCGCCAACCTGCACTTGTGATGACCTCAACATGCGTGGGAAGACAGGACTCCTACTCACTCTGGGCTGGGTCAGCAAGCGGGAAGCTGCAGATGAGGGGCCCAGCCAAGCCCAGGTAAGGCAGGGAACCCTCCCAGCGGCGACAGACAGCATAGGAGACGGGCGCAGCGCCAGCAGCTGGCCGCCAACATTTGGTCCCGGAGGCCTGTGGGTCTGGGCCCTTCCCGGTGTCTGCCCGCCCAGCCCGGTGCCCGCTCCCTGCCCGCACCGTGAGCGACGCCCGCGCCGCGGCCGCCCGCGCCTGTTGGTCCAGCCGCCGCAGCTCCGCGGCGAAAACGCGCACGGCGCGCTCCAGCCGCAGGTGGCGCAGCATCAGGGCCTCGGCGCCTTCCTGGTCTGGCCCGCAGGAAGCGCTGTCCAGCAGCGACCGCCGCTCGCGCAGCCACGAGGCCGCGTCCGCCGCGTCCGCGAAGTACTGTGGGAGGGAGGGACGTGCCGAGGTGAGGTGCGGGGCTAGAAGCGCTGGCGCCGAGCGCCCCACGGGCCCCGCCCGCCGCGACCCGCCCACCGAGGTACCTGCTGGACGAGCAGGGCCGCTTGAAGTCGCGCGCCCAGCCCCGCCGCCCGGGTCCGGAGCAGCTGCCACGCGCCCTGCACGGCCTCAGCCCGCTCCCGGGGATCCGCTTGCGTTGGAGGGCCCCGGGCGCCGAGGTCACGCCCCCTCTGCACGAGATCCGCGCACACGTCCTGGTGGCGGAGGACCTCGGCTTCCAGGGCCTATGGAAGGGCAGTGCAGGGCACTGGGTGAAGGGAAGAGAAAGGGGAGGCTGCCGGAGTCCTAGGAGGGGCGGGCACAGAGGTAGGGGCCGGCAGGGCGGGAGGTGGCAGGCACCTTGTGCTTCTGCAGGGCGGTGGAGAGCTGGCTGAGATCCCGACCCAGGGCCACATTCTCCACCAGCTGTCTGCGCTCCCTCAGCCAGGTTTCCTCCTCCTCACAGTCGTGCAGGAACTTTGCCTGCTGCAGGGCCTGCTCCAGCAGAGCGCGCCTGAGGGCCAGGGGGCGCCCCGAGCGTTAGGGAAGGGGGTTCCCCAGCGGTGGACAGCCTGCCCTCTTAGGGTTTTTCTTTTTTCCTGGACTACTCAAGACGTGAGACAGAGACCTTGGGGTGGGAGTGAGCTTAGAGGAAGCTGCCAGGGCAGCAGTATTTTAACCCGGGGCAGGCGGTGATCTGGGTTACAGAGAAATTCTGGAGAATGCAGAAGCGCGGGAGCCGGACTCTTACCGGGCGCTGACGAGAGACTCCAGGCCCTGGTGGAGCTGGGCCAGCCCCTGGGCTTTGGCCTGCAGCACCTCCATGTTGGCGCCGGAGGAGGAATACAGCTGGGAGGTCTGGTGGGCAAGATGGCTCACGTGGGCTGCGTGGGCAGAAACCTGCACCTCCAACAGCTCGTGCCTCTGCAGCAGCTCCACCACCTCTGCCAGCTGCTGCCCACAGGCTGTGAAGCTGGCCGGCACCTGACCAGAGGCGGGTGGTCATTCCAGACCCAGGGGGCTGGGGAAGGTCCCACACCCTGCTGTGTTCCCCAGGTGCCTGCTAGTCCAGGGCCCACCTGCAGCTCCCGGAGCTGGTCGGAGGCAGCCTCGACCTCCTGCAGCAGGCGCTGCACTGCCTGGGTGCTCGCTGTCTGCTTCCTCTGCCCTTGGAGATGCTGAAGGAGCCTCTCCCAGCGTCGGGTGACCTCCATCTGCCTGGAGGACATGAGAATAGGGTGGTCTCCAGGGGGCCGGGGTGGAGAAGCTACCTCGGGGTCCTCAGGCAGTGGAGGAGCCTGAGCTCTGTGGCTGGGGAAGGGTCTGTGGGTGTGAGCACCCTGGCAGAGGGACCGCTGGGGCAGGGTCTGTGGGTGTGAGCACCCTGGCATAGAGACAGCTAGGGTAGTGTGTCCTGTTTTTGGACCCAGGCAGAGAAGCCAGAAGAAGGACCTGGAAGGCTCAATCCTCAGGGCTTCCTTATCCTCCTTTCCAGTCCCCGCCTCAGTTGATGGCAACTCCACCCTTCCAGGTGCCCCGGCCCAAACTTCGATTCCTCACTTTTCCACATCCTACATCTGATCTGTCTGCAAATCCCATTGGTGCTACCTTCAAAGTGTATCCCAAATCCCACCACCCATCACCTCCAGTGCTTCCGCCCAAGTCATCTCTGTCCTGGATTATTCCAGTAGCTTCATAACTAGTCTGTATGCATCTGCCTTTGCCCTTCAGTCTACTCCCAACAAGGCATCCAAAGTGATCACATTAAAACAAAAGTTGCTTGTGTTACTTCTCTGCTCAAACCCTCCGATGATTTCCCATCTTTCTCTGGGTAAAACCTGTCTTCACTGCCCTGCAAGGCCCTGCATGATCTCTGCCCTCACCCCGGCACCTCCCCAGCCTCATCCTTACTACCTACGGCCTCCATGCAATTTTCCCAACATGCCATGCGTGCACATCTCGGACTCTGCACTTGCCATTCCTTCTGCCTAGAATAATCCTTCTCCTCCTATCTGCATGGCCAGCCCCCCAAACTTCGTTCTGGTCTTTGCTCAAAAGTCAACTTCCCAGTAAAGACTCACCTTGACAACTCATATTTCCCTTTCTTGCTTTATGTTTTTTTTTTTTATTACTATTTCACATACTATGCGTTTTTCTTATTTGTCTGTTTTCCTTAGTAATGTGTAATTTCACAAGGGTAGGGCTTTTGGTTTGTCCTGTTCACTGCTAAATCCCCAGAACCTAGAACAGCACTTGGGACATAGTAAAAAACCCATCGCTATAGAGTCGATTCTGACTCATGGCGACCCCATGTGTTGCGGAGTGGAACTGCTCCCTATAGAGTATTCAACGTCTGTGATCTTTCAGAAGGAGATCACCACAGCTTTCTTCCTAGGCACTTCTGAATCGATTTGAACTGCCAACCTTCTGGTAAATAACCAAGCGCTTAACTGTTTTTGCTGTTCAAGGACTCCTTTAGGACAAAGTAGACACTCCGTAAATACTTGTTGAATGAATTAATAAGCGGTTTCCTGAAAAGGACAATGCTTTATCAAAAGGGACGAATTATGGATGGTGAGATTTCAGGCTTCCGTGGGAGTAGATCTTTTTAAAGGGAGCCCTGAACCTGTGAATCATGCCTGTTTTGTGTGGCCAGGAGCAGGCAAGTGAAAGGGCGGAGGTGTGGTGGGAAAACCTCAGCCCGTTGTGAGGACGGTTCACGTGCCCAGGGCTCACCTGTGGGCCATGTCTGCCCAGCCGTGGTACCTCTCCTGCCGGAGGATGTCCCCCATCTCGGCCAGGGCCTGGAAGCGCCCCTCCTGGGGCAGGATGCCGGCCTCCAGCATGCCCAGCCTCTGGGCGGCTGCCTCCACCATGGCTGGGCTGGCCAGCAGGGCCCCCACCTGGCTGAGCACGCATTCCGTGTCTACCAGGAAGCTCTCCCGGAGGACCACCTTTCGCTGGAAGCGCCGGGCCAGGGTTTCCAGCCGCTCCAGCTGCAGTAGCCGCTGCTGCAGGGCCTGGCTCCGTGCAGCCTCTGCCCGCTCCAGCCCTGACCAGCTCTGGGGCAGCGCTGCAGGGCCCAGGCCCTCGCCAGGCAGGAAGGGCCTGCGGTTCTGGGCTCGGAGCGCTGTCTGCAGCCGGAAGAGCAGGGCCTCCGTGGCCCCTCGCTGCTGCAGCCGTGGCGGCTTTTCCTGGGTGCGGAAGGAGGCAAAGGCCACCAGTAGCTGGCTCATGGCGGGCAGTGAGTCTGGGAAATCCCGTGCCTCCAGCTGAACCTGCTTCTCTGCAATCCAGCGTAGCAGGTCGGCCGCCAGCTGCTCATACTGGGTCTGTAGCTCCTCTGTCTCCTGGAGCTGAAGCAGGATCTGGGGGGACATGGGAGGGGGTCAGAGCGGCACCTCGGGCAGGCCCTGGGATGGAGGCACTGCCCTTTGGGTCACTGAGTGCCAGCCAGAGTTACCCAAGATGGGCTGTAGCTCCTTCCCTCAGCTGAGGATGCACTAAACCAGGAGGCTGCCCTCCAGCCCCCAGGGAAGTGGGTTGGCTGCTGTTGCCCCCTTACACCTGGAGCATGTGGGGCTGCCTCTCGACGTTTGCCGGGGGTACTGCGTCTGGCCTTCCTCCGACTTCCTTCGCCCCATTTGGCCTCCCCTCTGGGTAGAGGCCATCACCTCCCAGCCCCCAACTGAGACACCAACGCTGAGAACAGCCCTCCCAGGCCTCTGCCGTCACATCCAGAGAGTAAGAAAGCCCCCCAAAAACATGGACTCAGCATACCCACCGCCCAGCGGAACCTCTTTTACTCTCTAAGCCCCAGCTCGTCTATAGCCGTTTAATCCCGTTAGGAGCTTAACAGCCTGCCAGCGGAGGGGAACGGGCTCCAGGAGACACTGGCTTCCCCTGTGGGCCAGGTACTCGCTGAGAACCTGACTCATGCTCCCTTGAAAACTCACACACATAGATGATAAACCAAACCAGTTGCCATCCAGTTGACTCTGACTCATGGTGACCCCATACGTGTCAGAGTAGAACTGTGCTCCATAGGGTTTTCAATGGCAGATATTTTGGAAGTAAATTGCCAGGCCTTTCTTCTGAGGCACTCTGGTGGACTCAAACTGCCAGCCTTTTGATTAGCAGCCAAGAGCTTAGCTGTTTGCACCACCCAGGGGCTCCTGAACACTTCCAATAGCCTTCTACTATCCGGACATGATCGTCTCCCCTTTACAAACGGAACATAGCAAACTGGGCCTATGCTCGCCCGCACCTCACCCACCTCGATGCCGCCACTGCTCCCTGGGGACCGCCCTCCCTTCATCACCAACCTTAGTGAGTCTCCTCTGAACAGTCTGGCCCTGGTGCAGGCGGGAGAAGTGGTGGTAGTAGAGGGAGACGTAGGTCATAATGGAGTGCTCGTCAGGCTGTCGGGCTGCGACATCCTCGGGGTCCAGCAGCCGGGCAATGCCCAGCTCCTGCTCGGCCACGTGGAAAGCGGAGTCGAGGTTGTGCAGGGGGTGCTCCGGGTGCAGGGAGCTGTAGTCAATCAGGTCTGGCCTGGGCAGGGCAAGGGAAGAGTTCTTCACCAGTAGTAAGTTATTGCTTTGGTTTCAGCCGCCTTTATAAAAATGCAAACACTCTCCCAGTGGTCATTCACACCTTAGTGTTAATTAGTCTGTCAGGCTTTCTCTTGGCAGTTATCTGAGAACCTGGCTGGAGAGAGGGGCGTTAACCTGGCTCAGGGGCCAGAGCCTGTGGGCAGCGGGGAGAAGCTCCAAAAGAGCAGGACATCTGTCAGGAGAAGGCTGTGAAGAGAACTGAGGGCAGAGTGGAGAAAGGCAGGGCCAAAGCAGACCTGGCCAATACATGGCATTTCCTGGAGGGGGTGGGTGCTAATCAGAGACCAGGGACTATACCAACCCTCTCTACTGTGTTCCACTCCGGCCTCACCTTCCCTCAGAGCCCAGGGGCTGGGGGGGACGTGGGAGAATAGGCAGGTTGAAGGACGCAGAACCACAAAGGACCCAACCCCTGGAGCACATGCAGCCCTTCAGGAAGAAGGCTGAGGCCTGCCCCAGGCCGGGACAGGGCTGGGAGGGCTCTGGTTCCTCCTGCGTGCACACGTGCACACACGTGCACATACATACACTCATGGGCACACGCATACACACACACTCATGTACACACATGCACGTCCATGCTCATGCACGCACCTGTGGGCATGGATGAGGGCGTTGAAACCGAGCCCGTCTCTCCAGCTGTGGGAGAAGTCGGTGATGCTCACGTTGGTGTAGCTGGCCGTCTTCCGCTGGCACCAGATCAGCAGAGCTTCCTGGGCGGACAGCAGGGCTGCGGTGGCCCCAAACTCCTCCTGCAGGACAGGGGAATGGGGTCACCATGCTGGAAGGGGGTGGGGGCAGGAGAGCCTGCAGGCTGTGGGGGAGGCAGGCCCGGCTGTCTCCCACCTGGAGGCACGTGCTGACTCCCTACTCTTCAGAACACCCGATTCTGCCATTTCCTCCAGGGCGGGGCAGGGGTTGGGGGTGAGAGAAAGATTGTCCTTCCAAAGATGCAGGCAGCTCAGAGTTACCACTTCAGAGCAGCTGGCTTTGTAGTCACAACTGGTGACAGCAACAGTGGCCCCTGCTGGTCGAGCCCTTCTTGGGCCAGGCGTCCTCTAAACCGCCTAGGGCCTCAGGAGGCAGGGTTGGGCGTCACCAGAACAGCTCCCCTGCCCACAGGCTTTCTGTAAGCCAGGCCCCGTGCCCCATGCACCTCGCTGTCAACCCCTCACAGCCTATGAAGTTGGCACCATTATTGTTTACATCCCATGGTTGAGAGATTAGGAGGAGACATCAGGAGGCTGCCCAGGGTTCGTCACCCACATAGGGAGGGGCTGGACTAGACCCACGGACGTCTGAGAGAGTCCACCTGTCCACCGCGCTCCTCTGGCTGGGAAATGACTTGTCAGCGTCTGGCCCATTCCCCCACCCTCCCGCAGGTTGACAATTTCCCTTTTTCTGCCACTCTTGGTTTCTACCTGCCCTTCCTTCACCTCCGCTCCTTCCCACTCGGCTCTTCTTTCTCTCCTCCTCCCTCCCTCTCCTCCTCCTGTCCTCCGCCTTCCACCCTAGTCCTTCTCCCTCCTTCCGTGGTGCCTCCTTCCACCCACTCCCTCCCTTGCTGCCTCACCCCCAGGGCCCCCACCTCTCCGTTCTCGTCCCCACTCTTTCTCTCACTTTCTCCTCCTCTCCTGATTCTCTCTGTGCACGTCCCTCCCCAACCAAGTCCTGAACTCAAAATGTCAAACCAGAGCAGGCTGCACTTCCGCCCAGGCACGGGGGCTTGGAGAGGACAGGAGTGTGGACGGCAGCACAGGGAGCACAGATGGGCCTCAAGGGCTGGAGCCAGGCTCATACCCAGATACCCCGAGGGCTGGGCGTGGGCAAGGATGGGGCTGTGGTGGAAAGCCTGAGCCTACTGTGAGGACGGTTCACGGGCCCAGGCAGCTGTGGACTGGGGAGAGGCTCCGGGGGTGAACCTGTGAGGGTGCAGGGTCAGCCTGAGTACCTCTGGGTTATGCAGGGAGTGGGGCCTGAGATGGCTGTGGACAAGCGGAACCAGCGGGAAGGACTGTGATCTGGCTGGTCAGGGGACAGTGATGCTGCTTCCAGGGGAAAGGGCTGCAGGGGGGCCTGACACTGGTGTAGGGGCCTGGGGCGCTTAGCTTCCTGAAAGAGCCTTAGGTCAGTTAGAGATTCATCCATCTATTCATTTGCCAAACATTTACTGAGCATCTACTATGTGCTAGGTTCTAAGGACACAGATGGACAAGGCCCCTGCTCTCTGGGGCTCACAGTAACATCCTGAGTTTCAAGGGTTCTCCTGGGTTTGAGCCACGTTTATGGCTTCTTTGCGGTAGGGTTTCTTTCTCCAGGTTGGCGTTCTGAACCTCCTGGAATCTGTTTTTAAGTGGTGTTTTGGAAACGAAAACTATGAAAATCGACAATAAAAAGGACTTTATATTTATCTCCCTTTCTGATCCAATTGTGAGGAAAGAAAAAGAATGGAGAAAGATGAGGGAGTACAGGAGAATACTGTCAGGATACTGGGGCCTTTGTAAGCCTTCAGGGCTGGGATGTCCTCTACAACAGTGCATCGCGGTATAACGAAAAGTTGCAGGGTTTCAAGGCCAAGTGCAGAACAACCACCGGTGATCCCTCTCTCTCCTTCAGTGTCGTCCTCCTTCTACCCACCCCCTCCCTCTCCCTTACCCCCAGGGCCCCCACCTCTCTTACCTCTTCCCTTACTCTTCCTCTTACTTGGTGGCAGGGGCCGATTAACCAGAAAGCAAGGTACGCACGGGCTTACAGTAAGCAAGTATGCACGGGCTTAATTTGTATTTACTTACTAATCTGCAGTGCACAATTTCACATGGGTTTTACCACATCTTTGATTCACTGCAGATTCAGCAAGCAAGCATAAGTAAGCCCGTGTGTGCCTGGCTTACTGGGAAATCCGTCCCTGCTTGGTGGTGAAATGCGGGTGCTGGGCAATTCATCTCAGCCCCTCGCTAGCGAGTGACTTAAAACTCATGATCTAGTTCTCACTTCAGCAAATGATGATATCGCTGACATTCTGGGTTCTTTACCTGTGGTTGAAGAGTGAATGCTAATTTTATGGATGCCAAGGACCTGCTGTGGGGATCATAGAAGCTGGGTGGAACTGTTCTGTCCCCAGGGCCTGAGGTGAGGCCAGGGCTGGGCTGGGCTGGGCTGGGACAGATAACTAAGAGCTGGGGGCTGAGACATACCCTGTCCAGGGAGATGTGGGAAATCTGGAAACGTAGGATGATGACCCAGATGAGTCCCAGGATGAGCGTCTGGTCTCCGTCCACAATGTTCTCTGGCCCAATCAGGGGTATTGGCACCTGTGGGCACAGTTGGTTGGGCTCAGCCATGGAGCCCGCGTGCTAGAGAAGACTCCAGGGGCTGGCTGCTGGATGAAAGGTCCTGGAGTCCATCCTGCCCCAGCCAGGAGGACCCCAAGGGAGATGCAGGCAGGGTGACAAGGCCAGGCAAGTGAATGCTTTCTAAGTGGCTGGGGCTTTGGCTCCAAGCCCATGCAGGGTGAAGCCATAACCTGGTGAAGTGGGCTGGACCACTGGAGCTGGAGGACGCCTTGTGGGTGGGCTACAGGTAAATCCAGGTGTGTGTGTTGGGAGTGGGGGAGGAAATGAGGGTCTTAACATCAATGCGTGAACTAGACACACGACTGTCCACCTCCACCTCCCAGGGCATGTCGAGACCTCCAGGGTGTGGTTGGGTGGTCCCGATGAGAGGCAGCGGGGAGGCGTTGGAGCCCTCTCCCTGTGCTCACACCTTCACTTCAGTCCTCTTTATCAGTGTTCCATCTCCAAGGGAGTCCGTTAGGAATTCAGATTCCCAAATCCCACCCAATCAGACTCTCTTGGGCCAGGGCCTGGAATCTGCATTTTAGCAAACACCTCGGTGGTTCTTGGGCACACTAAAGTTGAGAACCTGCTGCCTAGATCTTGCCACTTGGGCAGGGAGGATGGGCGGACCCAAGGGGAGAAGGAGACAGAATAAGTAAACACCAAAGTCCTTACAATGGCCTGCAAAGCCCCCATGATCGTGCCCCCGTCACCCCTGGTTTATTTCCACTCAGCTGGACCACGTGGCTCCAAGGCCCAGGCGATTCTTCAGTTCCTTGAGATTCTAAGCACAGTCGTGCCATAGGGCCTTTGCACCGGCTCTTCCTGCCAGTGAAAATATTATCCCCTCCAGATATGCAAATGGTGGTCTCCCTAGCTTCCTTTAGGTCTTTACTCAAATGCCACTTTCTCAAGGAAGCCTTCTACCCTGACCATCCTACTTAAATTGAAACTCGAGGCTAATGCTCCCACCCAAACACACATGCCTATCCCCTTTCTCTGCTTGGTTTTTATTTTTTCCCACGTCACCTATCACTTTGTAACACACTATAGAATCATTCACTTATTTATTAACTGACTCCCCTGCTAGAATGTACACCCCATGCTGGCCAGAGTCTTGGGTTTGTTCCCTGATGTATCCCAAGTTCCCCGGTAGAGTTCTTGGCACATAATGGGTAATCAGTCAGTATTTATTGAATGAAGACAGAACAGGGGAGAGACTGTCCATGAGACCTGGAGGGCAGCCAGCTTCGGCACCCACCAGCCTCATGGGGGAGCTGTGTCCCTAGTACTCCCCTGGGGTGCACTTTATTGCATCCTGACTGGACCCTAAGTCATTTCACCCCATGCTCTTCCCTCTTCTCTGTGGTACACCCGGCCCTTTCTGCGTTCACTTCAGCTTGGAGTCGGAATGTCTGGTCAGTGGGGCGTTGGAGCTGGCTCGCACCAGCTCACGAGAGCTGACTGTGTATATCTCCCCCTGGGAGTTTAAAATTGGTCATGGTGGGAACAGTAAAAAAACAGTCAGTTGCCTCAGAGGTGACTCCAACTCATGGCAACCCCATGTTTGCCAGAGCAGAACTATGCTTATAGGGTTTTCAGTGGCTGATTTTTTGGAGACTGCCAGGCCTTTCTTCCAGTGTGCCTCTGGGTAGACTCCGCTGGACGAGTGTGTTAACTGTATGTGCCACCCAGGAACTCCTCAGCCTCCAGAGCCGAGCAGCTCATGGATTCAGTACCTCAGGCCAGGAGCCCTCGGTCCTCTTAACTCCTGGTTCTCGATATAAACGACCTCTCCATGGTCCCCTAACACAGCCCCCTAACAGCCATGAGTATCTGTTATTATGGATTGAATTGCATCCCCCAAAAATATGTGTTGTAAATCCTAACCCTTATACCTGTGGATAGGAGCCCTGGTGGCACAATGGTTAAATGCTTGGCTGCTAACCAAAAGGTCTGTGGTTCGAACCCACCAGTGGCTCTGCAAGAGAAAAGACCTGGTGATCTGCTCCCATAGTTTACAGCCTTGGAAACCCTATGGGGCAGTTCTACTTTGTCCTATAGGGTTTTTATGAGTTGGAATCGACTTGAGGGCATACAACATACCTGTGAATGTAATCAAACTTTTCTTTGTTATGTTAATGAGTCCATTATATGTACAGGATGTGTTTTAACCCAATCACTTTTGAGATGTAAAAGCAGCAGATTAGGAACAGAAGCAAGCGCGCAAGATGCTACACCACGTGAAGATCACCAAGGAACTGGGGAACAGAAGCTGAAAAGAGATAAGGACTTTCCCCCAGAGCCAACAGAGAGAGAAAGCCTTCCCCTAGAGCAGCTGCCTTAAATGTGAACGTCTAGCCTCCTAAACTGCAAGAAAATAAATGTCTGTTCATTAAAACCACCCCCTTGTGATATTTCTGTTATAGCAGCACTAGGAAACCGAGACAGGGTCCCTCCATGACCCCTGAGTCCTTGCCTCCTTTTAGCAACTATCTCTGTCCCTTTCTCTCAGGTGACACTGGCTCCCCCTCTCTGCTGTCTGGTCCAGCTTCTCCAAGACAGAGCCTGCACCTCTTCCCCCACTGCCCCTCCCAGTGCTGGGGCTCCTGCTCTTGCTTCCTGCCTCAGCCTGCCTCCCACGGCCCCACAAGGGGGCTCCGCTGGTCGGTTGGCCATGGCTCTTGCCTGGTGAATAATTCTGGGTCTTTGTTTTCACCTTTATGAAATGGGAAGGTTAAGAGAACACTAAGATCCTTTCAGCTTTAAAATCTGCCATTCTCTCTTATTACAGACAAAAGCACGTTTCTGTCCCAGTAGGGACGATGCCTGCTGTTTCAGCCAGCTGGGGGCGCTCCACCTTCGGCGTCTTGCGTAAGGAGGGGCAAGGCTTCCGGGACCTCCATATCCTACCTGCACCTCCTTTGTTCAGGCCCCCCACCCTCTGCTTGGCCCTGTGGCCCAGTCCAGGAGAGATGATGTGGTAGTCCACTCCACGGCCCAGACGCCCTTTCCCGGGTGCCCACCTTGGCCCTGAGAAAGGCCAGCGCTCGGCTGTTGTTCTCCAGAAAGTGCACGCGCAGGCGGCCCCGGTTCGGGGGTGGCAGGGCCTCCCCCGAGATGAGCTCCAGCAGCCGCAGCAGGTGGGTGCCGTCGCCCAGCTCCGTGTACAGGCTCTGGATCTTGATGCCCACCTGGGGAGGGTGCGGGGGAAGGCGCAGGGTCAGCCCAGCCTCACCTGCCTGCCCCATCCCAGGACCTGGAAAGAATGTACCAGAGGCAGCTGCCTTGGGGGAAGGAGCAGTGGGCTCAGCTCTGCTGTGGAGTCAGGAGATGCTCAGCCAGACGCCCTCACAGCCTGCCCCAGGGGCAACTGGCCAGGGCAGGCGGGGGGTGGGGGGGCGCCTGGCTCCACTCACCCTGCCGTGCTGGAAGACATTGTTGATCCAGTTGGTGAAGGTCTTCTCCTGCATCCGCCTGTGCTGGGCCTGCAGCCTGCAGACGTGGCCCATCTCGTACTCAGAGTCCATGGCGGGACCTGGGCCAGGACAGCCCTGCGGTGGCCTCTTGCTGCAGGGCCCTGTAGCCACGAGGAGCTGCTGGGGACAGGGGTGACCAGCCATCAGGCTGCAGTCTCTGGGGACGAGGGGCCTCTGGGCATTTCCCGAAGCCTGGAGATGTTTTGGTGATGGAGGTTGTGTCTCTGCCAGGCATATGGAGACCCCTCCGTGCCAGACTGTCCCCCCATTAGGGGAGGGCTTGTGGCTTGGAGCCTAGCCAGGTAAGGCTCTGGTGCTCCTAGCTGGTGTCCTGCCCTTGACTGTCCCAGGGCCCCCTTTGCCCTACCTTCCAGGTTGTTCTCAGCGCTCCTGCTGCTGGAGGTCTCCCTTGGACTCAGTGATTGGCTACTGCTCCTTGGGTTGAGTAGGGCAGCGGGGAGGAAAACAGGAATCTGCTCAGCTTAGTGATGTCTGGACCCTGGGGAGGTCTGCTGGACAGATGGAGGTGGCAGATAAACGGCCTGTGCAGGGAGGAGGGCGACATCAGCAGAGGCCGGGCTGGAGCTGGGGCCACACCAGGGCCCTCCCTCAGCCAGCACACAGCCGGCATTGTCCTCCCACCTGCCACGGGCATAGAGCAGACTGGGAGGGGGTGGCTGAAGAATGCTCCAAGCCCATCGCTTGAGGATTGCCTTCATCATCTCTCCACGTTGCCCCCAGGTGGGGGTCCTGGCTCACAGGACACAGAGGCCCACGGGATGATCTCAGGTGGGCTCGTGGAAGCCCCAGCCTTGCTGCCTCTGGGTGGGGGCCCTGTGGGGTCACTGCGGCCTGGGTGAAAGATGCCAAAGGGCAGGCCGGCCGAGCCTCTGGTTGGAAGCCTCTGGGCCCACTTCCCAACCTGGGACTGCCCTTCAGCACCTAAAGGGTCTCTGTGGGCACCCACAGCGCAGGGGTGGGGGTGCACGCTGGGTCATTGCCCTCTCGTCCATATCTGGGAAGCACACAGAGAGAGAACATCAGGCCCTGAGCTGGGCCAGGCCAGGCTTTCCAAGCCCTGCCAGAAATAATCACCCACCTCACCTGGGGCTGAAGGGTGGGGTACTCCCTTAAACTGGGGGGCTATTTTCTGAAGGGCGCTTCCCCTGGGAAGGGGTGACCCGGAGCTGCAGAGGCTGTGGAAAGATAGTTCCCTCCAAGACCGTGTGAACTCTTTGGGGCCCCATGGCAAGGCACCCACAGGGCTGGCTGCGGATGGGACACTGAGGCAGGAGTGCAGAAGGAGCTGGCGGCTCCAAGCTTCCTCCCTGAGCACACTCGGACTTGAATGGCAGCGGGAAAGTGTGTCTGACTGGTGGTTTCACAGAACTGTTGGGCTAATCCTGGGCCAGAGGATGGCCCTTTGAGGGCATCTGCCCTGCAGTCCTGAGGACCTCAAGAGGACTTCTTCTCGGGGCCCCTATGGCCAAGGGCTGTGGTAAGAGCAGCTGCACAGGCTGCTCTGGAGGGTGGGCAGGGCGAATCACGCCTAAACCCCCGGCTGTGGTTGGGAGTGAGGGTGATGTTGAGGCCTGGTGCTCCTGGGGTGGGCACAGCTCCCTCGCATCTCAGAGGAACTTCCTTGTCTGTTCTCTGTCCCCTGCCGTGTCCCTCTGGCCACTATCTGGCTTGGGATGACCCTTCACTCCTTCCTCGCTGGCAGCTCCAGGTCCAGTCACTCACCAAAGGCTGCTGCTGGCTGTGCCTCCCAGCGTTCCTCGGTCACCCTTCCACCCCTTCTATTCCCACTGTCCTGCAGGTTCTCGTCATCAGTCCCCTAACTGGTCACCCTATCTTCATGTCAGCCTAAACATGGCCACCCAATGTACCCCCCGCAAGCACCACTCTGCTCACACCCATGAAGACTCCCATTGCCTGCTGAGAACCTGGAGTTGTCAGACCCTGGCTCACAGCCTTCAGCTTACTCAACCAGGCTTCTCTCCTCTGCTCGCCCCAGGCTGCTCCATGTCCACACTCCATCTCCTGACTGGGACCAGAACATTCCCGCCCCATGTCTGGGCTTCTGCTGTTCTCTCAGCTTAGAATGTTCCACTGTCCACATTCCTCCTATCCTACCAGCCCTGGTTACAATCCTGCTTATTCTAGGAAGTTCCTTCACCCCACCTCCTCACCCCGGGGATGACTGTTCTTGTGTCTCCTCTTATGATGGCCCTTGGCCCCAGGCATCTCGTGTGACATTGTAAGCACTGGAGGACGGGGCAGAGCACTGACCTGAGTGACACTTTGCACACAGATCACAACAGTGTTGGTTGTATGTGAATGTGTTGATTGGGACTTGGAGACTGCTTTTCTTCCTCCCTAACTCAATTGCAGCTAAAACCACTGCATAGGTTGCAAGAGCCAGCTCCTCGTTTGCTATGCCTGATTGCATCCCCTGGTCAAATAAGAATCCTTATTGGTCAGTACATAATTTTGGATTATTTGTGTTGCAAGCAACAGAAATCTCAACCCAAACTGGCTTAAACAATGTAAAGGGAATGCATTGGCCCATATAACTGAAAAGTCTAGTAGTAGGAGGACTTTAGGTGAGGTTTGATCCAGCAGCTCAAATGATGTCACCATGGGCCTGGATTGCCTCTGCCTTTCTCAATGTCTCCTTCATTTTCATGTCCCACAGGATGGCTGCTGCTAGTCTAACTAACCTCCCTCCCCTGCCCCCAGCATCTCTGGGGATCCTCAATGTCATGTATCCTGTTGCAACAATAGTCTCTCTTCTTTACATTGCATGGTTCAAAGAAGAGAGAACATCTTTACTACGAGTTGGAGCAACTGTCTGGCGGCCTGGCTCTCATAGACTTGAATCAGGTCACATGTATTCCTGAACCAATTTCTGTGACCGGGGGTGAAATACTCTAACTGGCTCAACCTAACCAGGACCCACCCTAGAAATAGGGGGTGGAGTTTATCTGACCCAAACCTCATGGCTCAGACTGAGGAGGGGAGGGTGAATGCTCTGCAAAGGAGATTTCAGGTCAAGATCACCAACAGGGTCGAGGGGTGCCGGTGGAAAAATCTCAGAGGTCTACACTGGGCAGTTCACACCTGTGAGGTGTAGCAAGTGGCCGAGCACATGCCGGCCACTGGGGGCTCCACCCCAGCACCACTGCACCTCCAGGCATGCGGTCCTGCCTCTTTGATGGAGAAAGATGGCTCCGTTGAGAGTGCTCAGTGATGTGGGAGGCAGAGACTGACCCAGAGTCTGTGACTGCCGACAGCTTTTGTCCCCAGTCTCCGAAGCGTGTGCCTTCCTGATTCCCTACAGTCTTGGCTTCCAACCACTCCCGGCTGGGGCTTGAGCCTTCCTTCCCTCAGAGTCTCTTCCCAGCCTGCCATGCGCCTGACCTTCCCTCTGTCCCCAGCAGGATGGAACGGCCTTCATTCTAAAGTAGCCCCATTTTGGGAGTCTCTCCCACCCAGAGAGGATGCAGGGAGAGCCTGGGGTCCCACGGAAGGTGTGGAGAAGAGGCACACCCTCTCCCTAACCTCAGCATCATTTCAAATGGATCCATGTTTCCTCAGACAGCTGGGCCACAGTCCCTTGAACGCGAGAAGCCGGTGGGAGAAAGGTGGTTTGTTTTTCAGAAGTTTATTGGTCAGTAGACTATGCCTTTTTTTGCGTGTTCATTTGACATTTCTAAACAACATTACCAAAAAACAAAAAAACAGCAGCAGCATAGTGTATTAACCGTGTTGTTTAGCTTACACGTAACTGGACATACTCTTAAGTTAAGCCGCCGTTTACCCGAAAAAAACTCAGTGATTCTCTCTCCTAAAATGTTATTTTTCTGCCACATCCCATGGAGGCAATAAACAGTAAAATGCTTTCCTTATCTTCAAGGAAATTTGTTCTATATATTCCTCTGGCCTTAAGAAAAAGTATTACGGTGGAAAGTGGAAAGGTGCAGACAGTACCTGCTCAGGCTGGGCCTCAGGCGGTAAACCCTGCCCTGGGCAGTGGGATCCAGTACAAGACACTCCCGGCAGCACAACCTCAGGGAAGTGCTGTGGTCAGGGGCCTGGGGGCGGTGAGGGAGGGCTGAGGGGAGAGCGGGAGGCATTCTGTGACCCAGCGCCATGATACATAACAAGAGCTCAACAACTCGAGGCCCATGAGCCTGAGAGGAACCACAGCCCCAAATCCAAAGGCGCTATCGCTGCATGATGACAAGGGTTGATAAAAAGGGGACAGGTTCCAGCTCTGGAGAAATGAAAGCCAAGTAGAGGAGCAACCCTCCCAGGGAAGAGTGACCCTCCAGGGCCATCCAGGGTGCAGTGGGTGGAGTCTTGAAAGAACCCATAGGCAATGCTGAGCTGGGCCAAGCGGCGCCTCGCCACGGGGAGGGTTCTGCGAGTCTCAACGGTGCCATGTTTCGTTAGCAGATAGATTCTGGAGGGCCTCAATAGCAGGCTTACAGCTTAAAAGCTGACTTTGGGAGGAGTAGGCTGAAGTTTTCATTTTTCCCCTAAAGCTCAAGACTGCAGAGGTTTGTGTTATTGAGAAAATAGGGCTTAAAGATTCTTGGGTTTCCTACTGTGAAATCATGGTGAGCATAAAGATAGGTCTATAATTCTAGGGTTTACCTCCTTGCACCTCCCCCCATGTAAACAGTCTGGGTAGGGGGCACTTTGAACACTGGGGTGGTGCTGTGCAAAGGGCAGAGTGAAGGGGGGCAGACCCTAGAGGGCTGCTGTCCACCCGGCTGTGTGGAGTGAGGTGGGCTTACAAGCAGACTGGACGCAGACTAAGGCACTCTGTGCTCGTCCTGGGAAGATCGAGTCCTCACTAGGTCACCATCCCTACAGTTTTCTAGTATTTTCCTTTTCAGTCAACTTTTCATGATGAAGGACTTCATGCTGTAAGACAGGATCGTAAGAAAAACGGACACGTGACTTCCATTCGTTTTTGCAAGGCTACCACCAGGACCCTGCAGGCAGGGAAAGAAGTTCAGCTACCAGCCACCTCTCCCGCCTGACCCCGCAGCTGAGGGCCGGGGTGGGGGGTGGCGGGCACCATCATGCCCTGAGACATCTCCTTGCATGTAGAAAGCGGAAACCTCAGCCTGCTGCCCTGCAAAAAACTTTTCGTATATGTCTCTGCATAGACAAAACTCGGCCATATATACATGCGCACACATTCATGAGAAATAAAAAAAACACATACTCAGGTGATATATATATGTGCATATATTTATATGTTTATATATGACAATTGAATAGAGCTAAAGAAGCAAAATAATTCTGACTGGAAAACCAGCTGACTTTGGCATCTCTAAACCTTTGGACAAATGAGCTCCCTCTGGTGGACCCTGCCGACACATTCCCGGCTGACAGCCCTCACTAAGCTGTCTGCTCCTGTTACAGTACTGGAGTTCTAAATGTTCCTCTTCTATGTGTCTAATTAATTTAAAAGTGCTTGTGAAGATTAAAAACCTTCACATTTAATTCTCTTAAAACTAAATTACAAAGTAAGCTAGGGTATGTGAGAGCTGGGATCTGGATAAATTTCCCCAAAATAAATATTTTCTCTTAAGTCCGCAGATCTGCCCTGGGCATCACCAGAGGCAGGTGACAGGAAAAAAAGAAAAAAAACAAAACAAAACCACGTGTGGTTTTGGAAGAGTCACATGGGACTGCTCTAATTTCATTTCATTTCCTATGCTGGCAGGGCTCTGGCCTTGCAGACTTGGCTGTTTTCTGTCTTTCTCTTAGCGCATAACAATGGGACTCATCTGCACCCCCAAGCAGGTGCCCACAGAGCAGGGAGGGTGATGGAGAGAATAAGCCACTGTCCCCTGACACAGGCCTGTGAGGGGACAGTCCAGAGGGGCTTACACAGGGGCCTGGGAAAGGGTTCTCAGGAGCCCACGTGAGGGTAAGTGCATAAGGCCTGCCTGGTGATTTGCATTCATGAACAAGCCACACTGCCTTTGGAAGAGGTTTGTGTGAAAGATTCCATCCTGTTTCTGTATAAAGGCTTTTATTCTGTAAGGGAAAAAACAAAAACAAAAACAAAAACTGGATATAATAAAAGTATCCATTTCCTACAAAAATAGTGTCTAACTCTTCTCCCTGACTCCACTCACCCATTTGTCCACACTGCCTAGGACACTGTGGGCACCAAGAACTGTTCTTGCTGAATTTAAATTCTGCCATTGGCCAAAGAACTTTGGGGACAATTAACGGTTAAGCATGATAGACTGAGCTACAAATTATTGGACAAACTGGTAAGAAAAGCAAATCTTTAGACTTCAATGTGTCTTTAAATGTATACTAGAAATCTTTCCAGGGGTTAATAAAGTTTGAGGGTTCCAAATTCCTAACCAAACGCAGCTTTCCTGGGAAGGCCCTGGGAGGGGACCCAGAAGGGTGGGCCAGTGCGGTGTGCTGGGACAGATGTGATCTGCTAGCCTGGCCACCTGCGCTGCTTGAGCCTGGGGGTGGGATGGGGCACACACAGACGAAGCTCCTCCTCCTGTCAAACTTGGGGCATGTGTCTTCTCTTTGGTAGACAATTTGGAGATAACAGAAGCTCTCTCTGCTATTTCTCCACTCTAAAATAGCAGGAAACAAAATAAATAAGAACTTCTTTTCTCCCTCGTGGTATCCTCTGAGCGACAGACAGGTGCTACAGAAGTTGTTCACAATGATACATAGCCCAAGTAAGCCCAGAAGGCTCAACCACTCCAGAAGAGCCCCCACCTCACTTCCCGGGGTTCCTGGGATTCTACAAAGCCAGCTCACCTCTGCACCAGTTTCTCCAGGCTTCTGAGTACTCTGGACGATTTCCCTTTCTTCTCAACCTTCAATCTTGTCACCCCCTCCCCGCCCCATCTCTCAATAGGAGCTCAGGGAATTTTAGCGATGGAAGGACCTTAGAGACCATCTCATGTGCAGTGCCTGCCCTCCTCATACTACAGATGGGAAAGCGGAGGCACAGACGGGCAGTGCCTTGGCCAGGGTCCTCAGTGAGTTAGTGGCTGAGGAGGCCTCAGGTCCAGGTCCTTGGTTCCCACCCCACACCACCCGCCCCGTTTGCAGCCCGCCCCTCAGTCGGCATTCGGCAGGCACTTCCTGTGAGAGGGGGGCACGAGGTGGGGGGGCAGGCTGCTGGGCAGCTCGTAGCCGTCCAGCTTGATCTTGATGAGGTGCTTGGCTAGTGCGAACTCCTCCTCGTCCAGCATGCCGTCACAGTCACAGTCGGCCAGCTTCCAGATCTTGCCCAGGACGCTGTTGGGTAACTTGGAGGACACCATCTCCTTTTTGGCATTGACACCCGTTATCTTGCCGTTGACAGGCGATAGGGTATAGAAGAGCTCGTCGTAGATGGGCTTGTCCTTGGCCACGACCCACTCCTCCTCGTCAGCGCCCTCCCCGGCGCCCTCCCCGTAGCCCTGGTTGAAGGGCCCCTCGGTGGTGCCGTCGAAGGCGCCGCCCTGCACCAGCTGCGTGGGCATGCTCATTTCCTCCTGGCTGACGAGGCTCATCAGTGACGAGATCTTGTTGCTCAGCATGTTGTCCACGGCCTCGATCAGCTTTGGCTTCAGTGAGTGGAATTTGGTGAAGTCGTAGTTCTCAAGCTGTTCCTGCAAGAGAACAAACCACACACTTGGTTACAGACTCTCTCTTCAGGAAACCAACAGGGAGGGGGCATCTGCAGGGACTAATTCTCCCTTAAAGTGGATGTCACATGCCCTGGGGTGTCCCAGAGCTCGCTCTTGGGTGGGATCCCTACATCCAAACTCACCAGATATAGGAGAGTGTTATGGATGAAACTGTGTCCCCCAAAAGATATGCTGAAGACCTAACCTTAACCCTGGTACCTGTAAAAGTGACCTTGTTTGGAAATAGGGTCTTTGAAGAGGTTTTCAGTTCACATGAGGTCATACTGGAGTAGAGTGGTTCCTAATCCAATCTGAGTGGTGTCCTCACAAAAGAGAAGAGACACAGAGAGACACAGAGGGAAGTGGGCCGTGTGAAGATGGAGCAGAGATGCACCTACAAGCAAGAACACCAAGGACCGCTGGGAGCCACCAGAAGCAAGGAGAGAGGCATGGAACAGATTCTCCCTCAGAGCCATCGGGAGGAATCAACATGGACAATACAGGTATCCCCCACTTTTCAAAAGTTCACTTTACAACTGGGAAAAAATTTTTTGCTACAACAAATCCAATCAGTGTTTAATCTCTAAAATCTACAAGATACTGCAAAACCTCAACAACAAAAAGACTAATAACCCAATTAAAAAATGGGCAAAGGCTATGAACAGGCACTCACCAGAGAAGACATTCAGGCAGCTAACAGACACATGAAGAAATGCTCACGATCATTAGCCATTAGAGAAATGTAAATCAAAACTACAATGAGATACCATCTCACCCCAACAAGGCTAGCATTAATCCAAAAAACACAAAATAATAAATGCTGGAGAGGTTGTGGAGAGACTGGAACACTTATACACTGTTGGTGGGAATGTAAAATGGTACAACCACTTTGGAAATCGATTTGGCACTTCCTTAAAAAGCTAGCAATAGAAGTACCATATGATCGAGCAATCCAGCTCCTTGGAATATATCCTAGAGAAATAAAAGCCGTCACACGAATAGATATATGCACACCCATGTTCATTGCAGCACTGTTCACAAAACAAAAAAAAGGAAACAACCTAGGTGCCTATCGACGGACGAACGGATAAACAAATTATGGTATATCACACAATGGAATACTACGCAACAATAAAGAACAATGATGAAGCCGTGAAACATCTTATAACATGGAGGAATCTGGAGAGCATTATGCTGAGTGAATTTAGTCAGTTACAGACGGACACATATTGTATAAGACCACTATTATAAGAACTCAAGAAAAGGTTCAAACACAGAAGAAAACATTCTTTGATGGTTACAAGGGTGGGAAGGGAGGGTGAGAGTTATTCACTAACTACATAGTAGATAAGAATTATCCTAGGTGAAGGGAAGGACAGCACACACTATAGGGGAAGTTAGCACAGCTGGAATAAACCAAAGCTAAGACGTTTCTTGAATACAATCAAACACTTCAAAGGACAGAGTAGCAGGGGTGGGGGTGTGGGGACCATGGTTTCAGGGGACATTGAGGTCAATTGGCATAACAAAGTTTATTAAGAAAATGTTCTGCATCCTACTTTGGTGAGTGGTGTCTGGGGTCTTAAAAGCTTGCAAGCGGCCATCTAAGATGCATCAGCTGGTCTCAACCACCTGGAGTAAATGAGAATGAAGAACACCAAAGACACAAGGAAAGGAAAGTATTAGCCCAAGAGACAGAAAGGGTCACATTAACCAGAGACTGCATCATCTTGAGACCAGAAGAACTAGATGGGGCCCGGCTACCACCAATGACCGCCCTGACAGGGAACACAACAGAGTCCCTGATAGAGCAGGAGAAAGGTGGGGTGCAGAACTCAAATTCTATTAAGAAGACCAGATTTAATGGTCCGAGACTGGAGGAACACCAGAAAGCATGGCCCCTGGACTTTCTGTCAACCCAGAAGTAAAACAATTCCCGAGGCCAACACTTCAGACAAAGATTGGACTGGACTGGGGGACATAAAATGATATCGTGAAGAGTGTGCTTCTTAGCTCAAGTAGATACATGAGGCTAGATGGGCAGCTTCTGTCCGGAGGTGAGATGGGAAGGCAGAGAGGGTCAGGAGCTGGCTGAATGGACATGGGGAATCGGGTGGGAAGGAGGAGTGTGCTGTCCCAGTATGGGGAGAGCAATTAGGGTCACACAACAATGCATGTATAAATTTTTGTATGAGAAACTAACTTGAAAGGTAAACTTTCACTTAAACTACGACAATAAACAACAACAACAAAGTTGACTTTACGCCACTTCGGTTTTACGAAAGACCGACATTAGTGCCCGGTTTTGCTAACCGAAAGAAATCTGAAGAGGACTTTCGCTTTTGTCAAAAAAGGCGAAAAGGGGAAATAGCGTTCAGTGTTTGTTCCACAGCCAGCCGTTGAAGAGGCAGCGCATACCCCAAGCAGCAAGAGCAGTGTCGCCAAGCTCCTTCCCCAGGAACCGCATCTCAGCATCAAGCTGCCATAGCTTTGAACTGTATCTGTGAGCATCTGTGCTTTATCTCGATTTATTTCTGTGCGTTGGTTAGCAAGATGTGTCCTGAGGTATCAGAAAAGCCTAAGAGAGCTCGCAAGGGTTGTATGTGTTACTTGGTATGATTTGGTAGGTTATTTTTTGGGTCTGGGAATGCTCAAAAAATTTTCCCATATAAGTGACTGGTAACTGCTTCTTCACTTTATGCCATTTCGGCTTACAAAAGGTTTCATAGAATGCTCTCCTTTCAGATAGCGGGGGAACCCTGAACCGTAATTTTGGACTCCCAGCCTTCAGAACCGTGAGACAATAAATTTCTGTTCTTGTACTTTTGTCATAGTCATTTAGTGCTGCTCTAACAGAAATACCACAAGTGGATGGCTTTAACAAAGAGAAGTTTATTCTCTCACAGTGCAGTAGGCTACAAGTCTAAATTCAGGGCATCAGCTCCAGGAGAATGCTTTCTCTATCGATTCTGGAGGAAGATCCGTGTCGTCAATCTTCCCTTGGTCTGGGAGCTTCTTTGCGCAGGAACCTCAGGTCCTGCTGAGGACCTGCTCTGCTTCCGGCACGGTTTTCTTGGTGGTATGAAGTTCCCATGTGTCTCTGCTCGCTTCTGTCTTTTATATCTCAAAAGAGATTGGCTTAAGACACTATCCAATCTTGTAGACCTCATCAGTATAACTGCCACTAATCCATCTTATTATATCATAGTGATAGAGTTTACAACACATAAGGAAATCACATCAGATTACAAATAGTACACTATCACACAATATTGGGAATCATGACCCAGCCAAGCTGACGGATATTCTTGGCGGACACGATTCAATCCATAACAACTTTGTTACAGCATCTCTAGGAAACTAATACAGAGACAAGCTGCATGGGACTCGCCGTATTTCTTCTACAGCAGCTAAGCTCTGCTGGCAGCTGTATGAGTGACAGCGACCTCTGGGACTTGGATACAACCTGCCTTCACTCTGCCTTTTTTTTAGTGCTCTAGAGAATTAGTATTTTATCATTTAAAGTGATTTTACTACATACTTCAGTTGATCTTCACAACAGTCCTGGGAGTAAGGAAGGGCAGGTATTACTAACCCTGCTTTAAGAGCTGCCCAGGGGTCCCAGCAGGGCCAAGACTCGACCCCACGTCTCTTGACTTGTGCTTAGTGCTCTTGTGACAGAGGGACTATATTTAGGGAAAACAATTATTTAAGGGCTCTGCTTTCGGATCAGCTAAACACACACACACAACATAGCTTAGGGTACTGTATCATTGGCTCTAACGGTGAAATATCAGGACATGGTGTCCCTTATGAATGAGCCCAGGCGGCTACTCAATATGAACGCTGCAGGAGCAGCCCACAAAGGCACAGCCTGGCCAGAAGTATGGAAGCTATGCCAAAAAGGTATGTAGGCAGGGCCATTGAAGTTTGGCAAATATAGAGTCGTCATCACTCTCTAATCAGTAGTCATTTCAAACACATGGAAAAATAAATAAAAGTTAAATTGGTAAAGGGCAGAGGTGTAGGGATGGGGAGGGCTGAGTATTACGAGGCAAGGCAGGGCAGGGTCTCGGCTCTACTTCCCGTCATCAGACAGAGCAGGAGCACAGGCTCCCGAGAGGCCCTGGGAGACACAGCAACTGCCCGGCCAGGGTGGCATCAGACTGCAGATGCCACAGCACCTGTAGAAACAATCCTTCCTACCTTGGTTCACTTGTTGTTCATTTCCTTCTCCATCTGTCCGTCTGTCCGTCCATCCATCCATCTATCCCTCCATCCATCCATCCTTCCATTCATCCATCCATCCTTCCCTCCCTCCCTCCGTCTCTCCATCCCTCCCTCCCTCCATCTCTCCAACCCTCCCTCCCTCCCTCCCTCCATCCATCCATCCCTCCCTCCCTCCATCTCTCCAACCCTCCCTCCCTCCCTCCCTCCATCCATCCATCCCTCCTCCATTCCTCCATCCCTCCCTCCTCCATCCCTCCCTCCCTCCCTCCCTCCATCCAGCCAGCCAGCCTTCCTTTCATCCACCATTTATCGGTCATTTGCTATCTGCCAGGCCCACTCTAGGCCTGGGGATATAAATGTGAAAAGCCACAGTCCCCACCCTCAAGGAGCTTATATTGTAATGGAGGAAAGACACTCCAATTTTTTAGTTACTTTCTACTTTCAAAAAGGATTTGCTTTACCTTGGAGAGAGGAAAAAAGGATAACATGAAATATAAGAAAGACATTAGAAAGGGAAAAGCCAAGTAATTAAAAGGGAGAGGAAGGGAGTTATTCCACAGACAGCAGAGGCTGAGGAAAGCTGCTGCCTGCAAGCACAGATTAGTTCTGAGCTGCTCAGCCGCTCAGGCGGTGGCCCCCACGGTTACACAGTCCTCATTGTCTGAGGGAAGAAATCACCCATTCATTGCTAGAGACCAACTTTCTCTGGCCCTGAACTCGGAGGCACACTAGGCTGTGCGTGAGGGACCTCA